TTTGTATTAGAAACTTTTTACAGATTTTTAAAATTCAATTTTAAGGAATTCTGTTATAAGGAGTTATGTATTGTTAAATCTCGGTTGAAAAAAAATTGAGATAACCGGTTGCATATGAATGCAAAATTCCATTTGCCCTGACTGCAGAATATGGGTGGGTCGGGTGTTTGATCACTTATCCAAAACCAAAAGCAACAATCTCCTTGAGATCTGATCACTATCTACGTGGAAGACAATTAGAACCTCCGACGCACACAACATCAAGACTTGACTCTAATTTTAATACCCCACTAATTTTAAATTTTAAATTTTAAATTATTGAATAATGCTAATTCAATAGCACGTCCACTCAAATGTATTTTAAAAAAATTATTATTATTATTATTACTATTTTTTGTTTTTTTTTTTTTTTTTTTGTGTAAATAGTAATAGTAGGAGATAGAAAGAGAGACCAGATTTCATGTCGATTCATGTTATTATTGATCTGTTCAGTGGAGCTTCAAGCAGCTTTGGTTCTCTTCTCGATTTCTTTTAATCTCAACATTCCATGTGATTTTGACCCAAAATAAATAAATAAATAAAGGTATGGACTTTCTCGACCAATTCATGTATATATATATATGATTTATATGATTATTATATGTATAGACACAGTCACACATTTATTTTTTAACATGGTATTGATGGATTTAAGGGTCTTGGGTGGTGTTGTTCATGTGCAAGACTTGTTCTCCAGTACTATTCCATAAAAAAAGGGGGACACTTTCAACTTGAGTCTTGGAGTTTTTGGGTTTTCTTCAAACTGTATATTTTTGAAGATTTCCTCTCGATTCTGTTATTGTCTTTTATTTGTTTTATTATTTGTCCCTCCTTCTTTGTTTATTCCCTTATATACCAGGGTTTCATAGGCGGTTTTTGAATCAAGATGTGATGAATAAGAAAGACAATAAAGATATGGAGGTATGGAAGAGTATATGAAATTGATAAAAGAAGTTCGAGTCATTTACAATGATTATGATGAGCAAATTGGTTATAATAAGAATGAATTCATGAGAGTTAAGCGATTTGTTAGAGAGATTGCAGTTAGAGGAGTTCCATATTGTGACAATGGGGTAAGATTGCTAGTAATATTGGCGGAAATTAGATGACACATCATCAGTGCATAGAGGAGTTCTGAGAAGAAATGGGGAGAGATTCAATTCCCTAATTAGGGGGAAAAGGTTGTAGTTTGGTACTTACAATACCATAGAGGAGACTGCCATTGCTTATTAGAAAAAGGAGCCCGAGTTTGAGAGGTTACTTTACTTGGAGAGGAGAGGAGTAAGAATTTGAAATTATTTATAGGTATTGTTTGCCAAAAATGAAAACGATTCTTGTATTCAGGAATCAACCCACCCGCTAGTCACTTTGGACTCTCATATGGTTTGCAAACTCCGGATACACACAATCACCTACAAACTACGTGCATCATTTAAGTCCAGGCCTCACGCATTTGGTGAGTCTTGAACTAGAGACCTAAGAGGAGTACCCCCAAAAGCCTTACCAGTAGGGGTTAAATTTGTGAATTTCTCTTCTTTTTTATAGTAACACGAGAATTCTTGATCGAGATTTTTCATGTGTTTTGGAGCTGTCCAAGCTTTTTCAGTGACATTTATTTATTGTTGCTATAGATACGAGAAGTTCCTATGTATTGCCATTTTTTATTTTTACTACATATTATTTTTCCTATTGAGAATCTGAAAATTTAAATACAGGCAAGCCCTTGAATACCTGTTTTACTCTTTTCGTGTACTTTTTATATAGCTGTTTGATTCTTTGCATAGAACTTGGTAGATAAAGCATCTTCTTCTGTAGTTTTTGTTTTCTAGCTCTTTTGTTCTTTAATGAACTCTTTCCTGACTGATTTTCCCACCATGATTAGTACAAGAAAAGGAGGGTGAAAAAATTGAGGAAAAAGAACAGAAAAACAGAAAACGAAACGGTTAAGTGTAAGCTTCAATGTTTCATTTCTAAAGGTGTTGGTTTGAGACGAAATACGTGTGTTTCATAATCTCCAATTTTCTTTTAAAGCAGCAAACTGACGATATTTGTAATTCTTTATTTTTTTCCTAATTCAAGCAATGTTATAATTAATATCTTGTTCCAATCCTTATTAATTCAAGCAATGTTATAATTAATATCTTGTTCCAATCCTTATTTACGTAACCAGTTTTTAGACTTAATAATTGCTTAATTTAAATTTCTATTGTCCACAACAGAGACTTTGATAATAGAATACTTATTACATGTAACACATTATAGAAGTGAGCTTTTTTTATCCTCTCATGATTCTAACTTATGCCTCGTTGTTGCAGGTAGTCCCAACTTTTGAAGGGCCAAATTAGGTCGAGATTTCAGGCATGGTGAACATTAGCTTGTAAGTACATACACTGGAAATTTGCTTAATTTTGTCTCACTTAGATAAATGTTACGATGAAAATGGTCTCACTATGAGTTGGTGCTCTCATCTGTTTGATCAAGTGCACTAGATTTTAAATTTTCGTTGAGCCACCGTTGTGACCCAAAAATATCAATCTCCTTTAATTTTGTTTTTTTGTTTTTAGGTGGTTGAGATTTAAAATTTGGAATCATGCACTGACATGACAGCGCATCGAAAATGGAATAGGTTCCAAAAATTCCTACGTAAAAACAGTGACAGGTGTCAAAAATTTATAGATATGTACCATGTCAATTCTTTTGCTAGATGCTAAGAAGCATCCTGGTCATATTGATTGAAGCTAAACTATACTAAGATTTCTCATCGTCTAGACAAATCCTTGATCCCTGCAGTATCTGAAGAAAATTATTAGTTCCATAGTTACAAAGAATATATCAGCCTAAGCGCATCATCTTAGTTCAGTGATAGGCTAAAATAAGATTCGAAGCATTTAATTAATCCTTTCAGACTGATTCAAAAATTCATAGATAGATTTGATCAAAAATCTAACTTTAAACTGTCTTAGTGCCAAGATAACTTTTTTTTTTTTTTTTTTTTTTTTTTTCTGGTAATTAGTGCCAAGATAACTTTTGATTAAAGTGGATAAAGCTTTTGAAAAGACAACTTATGAATCAGAAAGTGGCTCGAGGAATTTTTCATTCATCCATCGTCACAGGAGACCTTCGAAATTAGAATGGTGTCTCTCCACTGATGTCTCTATGCCTGTGATTTTGTTTCATTTATTATGGATCTGTACCTAAATATTAAGTCATTCACTTGAGGTCATGACCTGAAAAATATGGAATCATGAACCAACATGACAGCACATAGATAATGTAATAAGTTCCCAAGATTATTAATGACTAGGGTTGGAACTTTATTAAATCATCTTACCTGGTCAACTCTGTTACTTGATATTATGGATCTCTGTCTGCCAAGGCTTAATACCACATTGCCCTCAATGCTAGTTCATAATCACGACGACAGCCTCGTATATATTTTTATTTTATTTTATAATTAACATTAAGTCAAGTCATTATCACAACACCACCATTCACATAATTTAAACCATACTAGTTCGTGTAATGTGTTTTTGGGAAGCCAATGGAAAGGCATCTCACCTACATCAATTAGTAGGTCTGAGAGGTATAAATAAAACAATACCATTAATAATTTTTCTTTTCTCTTCTACCTTTTGTCATCAAATAATAATAATTAGTATTATGCCATCATGATAGATATTTAACTTGGTGATGGAGCTTCCTAGATTTTTTTTGTAATCATTTTAATTTGGTGAGAGTATATATACACACACGCGCGCATATATATATATCATAATTGTGGACATGCTCCCCACAAAATTATCGATAGAATCCTTTAATCGTAAGTCCTTTTCCCTAGTTTCTCTCTTTTCTCTCCCAAACACTCTTCCTCATGCATGTTTGAGTCAATTTATGGTATTAAAATGAAAATTATCACCTAGCTTTGAACAGACTATTAAAGAAAATGGAGTTGTATGAAATCATTTTTGGTTTCCATGAAATGAAAATTTTAAATTTGAATTTTAACATTTCAGATTACTCCATTCAAAGAGAATATGTTAATTTTGACATTGAAATTTTGTGTAAAATATTGACGGGGTCATTCAAATTGAATTGAATTTCTAAAAAAGTGATCCTGGATATTTCTTGTGACAGTTGGTCTAGATATTAATGCTTTTTAGTATAAATAAAGACAGGGAAGTAGACTGCATTATTTTCATGACTCAAACATACTGTGTCTTCTGGTTTTTCCTGTGCCAGTAAATCTATATATATATATATATATATATATGTATGTATGTATACACAAGTTACCTAACACATGTAAATACTCCTTGGCCCAGTTGCATGGTTATATTGATTTGGATCACATTGTCTGGTGCCGCGTAAAATTACCTCAAAGATAGCGTAAGGCCGTTTTTGACTGGAGGAGAATGCATGGTGGAGCCAGTAAGTGGAAATTAACCAATCACCGCGTATATGTGAGGATAGAGAGAGAGAGAGTAGTTGAAAGCCACCATAGGGGACCACAAACTGAAGGTTTTAAAGTTGCAACAGGAATAATTGAGCCACAGGGACAAAGCACCAAAAAGGTCTTGCTCAAGTTTGAGAGAGAGGGAGCCGTGACCCATTCATGCCCAGAGAGTCATGCATGCCCAACCAAAAGGTCTTTAAATTTGAAAGAGAGACATGGCCTATTCATGCCCAGAGAGTCATGCATGCCCAACCAAAAGGGTCTTACTCAAGCTTGAGAGAGGGAAAGAGTGAGCCCAACCCTTGTGGGCCCAACCGTTTTGTTGGACCCCACAAGGAATCCCTCATATAGACAGAAGCCAATAGGAAGGCAGAGAATGGGATGGACTTCATGAGTTTAGCCAATGAACAACCAGATAAGACCAAGCTATGGGTCCCCCTAAGAGTTGCAATCTTACACTCTAGAAAACCACCAAAAGTGCATGGGCACTTGGGGCTCCGACCAACTTATATGGTGCAAAACTAAATGCTCCTCTTCATGGGTCACACTCAAATACAATAATTGCACCATTTGAGCTTCTAAATAAATACTTTAAGCTCGCTACCACTTCAACACTACTATTAACGGTTTTCTGAACTTCAGTTTTTGAGTTTGTTCTGTCAGTTCTGAATTTTTGACAATCCTTTATTTGCTTCATGATCACTTCAAAAAAAGCCGCAAACGCCCTCGGAGGCAAGACGGCGAGAGCTTGCGATGGGTGTTTGCGTAAGCGGGCACGATGGTATTGCGCCGCGGATGATGCTTTCCTTTGCCAAGGTTGTGATTCATCTGTGCATTCTGCAAATCAATTGGCAAGCAGACACGAAAGGGTTCGGCTAGAAATTGGATCCTGTAAAGCCACCACCGACTTGGGGCTTGCAAAGAATTCTCTGCCCGCTTGGCACCGAGGGTTCACTCGTAAGGCTCGAACCCCTCGGCATGTCAGGCCGACATCGTTGCAACCACCGAAGGCTGTCGATGAGGATCAGAAGATCGTAAACTATCTTCCTCTTGTCCCGGAGATGGGTAGTGAAGAAGCTTCTCTTGATGAGGATGAAGAACAACTCCTTTATCGTGTTCCGATCTACGACCCATTTGCTGCAGAGCTCTGCAATGTGCCAAATGAAGCTGAAAACAGACAGGGTGATGAGAGAATTGAAGCTTCTTTAAGGAGTGAGCTGAATGTTATGTTAAGTGATCATGACGGATGTGATGAATCATGTGAGTTGGATAATCTTCCTGGGTTTCTTCCATCAGATACGGAGCTTGCTGAATTTGCTGCAGATGTCGAGAGCTTACTCGGGAGGAGACTTGACGAGGAGTCTTGTGGTATAGAAGGGTTGGGACTGATAGATTGTAAAGAAGAAGATGGTATAGATATGTGTTTTCACGAAGGAAGACAATTTGTGAAGGTTGAAGATGAAGAATTAGATGCTGATGTGGCTAATTCTCATTTGGATCCGGTTTTTGACATAACAAGAGAAGCAATGGATTGGAACTTCGATTATGAGTTGCCAGTGAGTGGCAAAGAGGAAGAGAATGTGGCGGCCGAGGCACAGACGGCCATGATGGACAAGGGATGTACATGTAAAGCGGAAGTGAGAGGGAGGAGTATGTTTTTGAGGCTTAACTATGAAGCAGTCATCACTGCCTGGGCTAGCCAAGACTCTCCTCGGACAACCGGAATCCAACCAGATTTCAACCCTGATGACTGCTGGCCAGACTTCTTGGTACATATACTCTCTTTCTCGACCTTCGATTTTTTCCAATTTTTTTTTTTTTTTGGATGACAGGTAAAAGGTCAATCATTGTGTTGGGAAAGCTCTTGGTAGTTTGTGATTCAGTTAGTACTTCATACTTTGATATTGTTAACTACAAGATTTGAACCCCTTGACCCTACCACCTCTTCTTTTAGTTGTCACACCGACAATTTTCAGTAACTGAAACAAGAGTTTCTTGTGCATACTTAGGTTCATATATATTTATAGACATACTCAAAATTAAAAGATTCAAATAATGAAAATGAGGTTAATTTATATTAATCCTTCAATTTAAATTCTCATGTAACATTTGTATACATGCATGCATGAACCTTGTTAGCCAGCTAGCTTCAATGAGTTGTTAATTCTGAGTCCTGTGATTTTCCATTAATTAATTAATCTTTATGAATTCAGGGTGTGTGCCCAATGGGTATTCATCAAGCACCTGGAGGAGGCAATATCATCGGAGGTGGTGATGGGGGGAGAGAAGCAAGAGTGTCGAGGTACAGAGAGAAGAGGAGGACGAGACTGTTCTCGAAGAAGATAAGGTACGAAGTTCGGAAGCTGAATGCAGAGAAAAGGCCTAGAATGAAAGGTAGGTTCGTCAAGAGGACATCCTTCCCAGGTCCTGCGCGCTTTTCGTGATTACCCCATCATCAAATAACTACCAAGTATCATGCAACTGCCAATTTTGGTCGTGGCAAAATTGGAATGATCAGGTAGCTAGCTAGTTAATTAACCTTTTTCTTTTCTTTTTCTTTTTCTTTTTTTTTTCAGAAGCTAATTAGGCTTTTTTGATGGCCTTTTTATTTCATAACAATAAATGGAAGTGAAGTAGATATTACATATACATCTTATGGACTCTCTCTCTCATAGTTATATACATATGCATTTACATATATTTGTTTTACAACTCCAATTCAAGTGTGTTTTTAAGTTCATCATCTAGTTTTCATGACCAGAACAGAATACACAAACAAGAGGTACTGATAAACCATATATCGTAACACTCACAGGAAGAAGAAAATTTCTTAGTTAATTAGATAAAGATTTCGGTATGAAACTCTTCAACATGCATGGTTATACTTGAATTGAAGATTAGGTTATAAAATTGGTTTATTTTTTATTTTTTATTTTCCTGAACCACTCCAAGTAAATAAAACAAATATATATAGATGAACAAGAATATATGGCTGATCATGTTCAACTAATTGATGACAATCTCAGCAGTTAAGAAAGATGCTTAGGGAGAGAGATAAGAATAGCTAGCACGGATGTTTTTTTTGGGACTGCGCGCACTGCGAAGTACTTCTTCTAGGATGTATATATATAAATATGAGAGAGAAAAGGCCTTGAATGACAGACGTCCAAGTTAAAGTGTTTGAAACTTTTGACTTCTTTACATTCAGGTAATAAGATTCAAACATTTTATCTATTTTTAAGGGATACTATAGAAGTGCTACTTCTACCATTGTGTATGAACTTGAAACAGTTTTAAGAGGTTTTGTTGAACGTTGAGAATGTTAATGTATCCTTGAAAATTATTGGTCACTTTAACCTATGCTATAATTTAGCCGGCACAAAATCCTCTCCAGCGCTACAGGAAAACTGTGCCATCCGGTGAGTTAAAATGATAAAGGTTAAAAATTAAAAAAGTAAAATTTTTGTATATACATAGACACATACAAACAGGATACAATATACATCAGAGAAATATTAGGATGCTGGTAAGGAGAAAGTTGAGATGTACGTTAGGAAAATATTGTGATGCAAGGCCAAAGTTCCAACATTTTTCACAACATTTTCCTAACATGTATCCCAAACAAGAGAAATAGATGAATAATGGGATGCTGGTATGGAGAAAGTTGGGATGCACGTTAAAAAAATGTTGTGATGCAAGGCCAATGACCTAATATTTTCCTAATATGTATCCCAAACAAAATAAAGAGATGAATAGTGAGATGCTGATAAGGAGAAAGTGGGATGTACATTAGGAAAATATTGTGATGTAAGGTTAAAGTCTCAACATTTTTTTAACATGTATCCCAAACAAAATAAATAGATGAATAGTGGGATGTTGGTAAGGAGAAAGTTGGGATGTAGGTTAAGAAAATATTATGATATACCGTTTGTACCAAGATATGTTTATTTATGTATTTGTATAATAAGTAACTTAATGTGGTGAATTTTTTTCTAACTTATTTGGGCAGCGACGTGACTCAACAGGAACCGAGCAATGTTCACTCGCTCAGATTGGAGAGGATTTTGATCCTAATTTAGCTACTTATATTATTTATTTATTATAATTATTTTTTGAAAAATAAGATATTTTTGTAGATAATTAGAATCAAACTCAGAATGGCCAAGTTTGTGACTCGCCCTTGAAGTACCATACCACCTTGCTACCCATGCAAGTTGCCTTAGACAGATATTATTCTGTTGGATTTTGATACCACTTTATGTTAAATTAGTAAATTTGTAAAGATAAAACAAACGAGCACTCAGACCGAATATATAGCACCAAATGGGAATCTGGCGGGATATTTGGAGTCGGACTGTTACCTGGGAGCATTCGGCTCCCCATATTCAGTTACTAAAACATTATTCAAAATAAAATAATAATTTGTTATAGATGGATGGAACTAGCCTTTTCGTTTTTTTACAGCTACTAAAATGACAAAAAAGTTTTCATTAAAGATAAAATCACAAATTAAAATTTCACTTATAATCAAAATTCGTAAATTATAGCATTTTCCATTATAATGGTAATCCAAACCTGCAGCCAATCATTTCAAGAAAAAAAAAAAAAAATTACTAATACTAAGAATCGGACATTAATCCAAAATTCTCTTTGAAATGTCATGTTCATACTTTTTCACAAGTTACAAAGACTCTTGTGTTGTGTTTGGAAGACATTTTTAGAATTAGAATCACAATTGGAGAAAATTAAATTAATTTGAACTAAATTTTTATAATTTCTATTTTAAAATACTGATTCAGTACACTCAAAACATATCTTAGGAAAATTTCGATAAGGCATACAAATTTTGTTTTTACGATTTAAATTTAGACAGTTCTAATGTTTTGATTTTGTAGCTTAGACAGTTCCAAAACGCATCACCTCTCATATTTATCAATCTTTTGGCTGTTACAAAAAGCCACTAGAATGGCTGTCATTCTGAAAAATGAAAAAGGAGATTTTGTACTTGATGCGAGAGAAAGAGGAAGGAAATGGGAGGAAGAAAGGATGTGGAAATTCCTTTTCTTTCTTTTGGGTAATAAAAATAAAATAAATAATGCCTAATTTCATTCTTCTATTTCTTTTTCCTCGAGTAAATATATTGAAGAAATCTAAACATTATTTTTTTTCTTGATTAGATAAATAATCACACACAGATTTCACAAATTTGCCCACCACAAGACATCATAATAGAGTATATACTCGCATTCATTTTGAAATGTAAGGAACACCTGAAGATGGCAAAGTTAGAATGGAAAGAGGCAACATCAATGCAAGAACTAAGAAGGAAGGGTATTTCTCTCTTCTCTAATCGATTATGAAAAAGATGGAGTAATAAGAAAATGGGATGTTATGTTAATTAGTGATTATGCATAACTGCATATATTAATTAATAAAAGAGCTTCCTATGCAATAAAAAATAAAAAAAAAATAAAAAAAGGAGCATTTTATTCAGCATTTCCTCCCTATTTTGAGGGCAATGAATATGGTGCAGCTCCCATCATACTATGAAAAGTCTATTCTTTCTTTCCTTTCTCTTTTCTCACCAAAACTCTTTATAAGTTTTGTAGGGACAACAAAAGTTGGTCCAGCGTCAATCTTGACCATCTATCAGACTGTCACAGCGGCATGTGTTTTGAGGAGCATGATCGAGGAAGAATCAGAGGGTGGAGAATGTAGATGCAAGTTAAAATGGTAAATCCAAGTGGTAGGTAGGAAAGAGACCTTGCTACTTTGTCTTTGAAAATTAAGGCCGGACAACTACCACTGGGCTTGTGCAGTGATCAGTCAGTTCAGCTGTGAGTCATACTAATAATTCAGTACGGTTAAATCTCCTCAAAGATTTTATGCAGGAGGCCCCAAACAGAACAGGCCATAGGCCCATAACTTGGTGGCATTGGTGCTCTTATGTATTCCTCCTTGGAAATCTTTCTACTTCCATGTATACATAGATACACACACACATGTACAGTGATTTGATATTGGAATTTTTTTATTTTTATATATATGGAGGACTGAGGTCCAAAATAGGGATCAGAGCAGGACCACTTACACGGTTACACCCTGATCCCTAAAGATTCCCCTGTCAAAGGCACTTTACATGGTACTATTTAAACCATCTTTTTATGGGAATAAGAAGCTGTATTTAAGCAAGCAGGAGGACTGGCCATGTCCATATAGCCTTGTGGTCCATCTCTTGCATGCTCTTTTAGCGGTGTGTATATATATATATATATATATACACACACACACACACACACATCTCATGCATTGTGTTGTGTGTGTGTGTATATATATATACACACACACATGAGAGACATATCTAGATATATATACACACGTATGTATATGCATGTGGGAGCTGAGGAGCTCCTTTTAGTCCAACTCTCATGCATTGTGTTATGCTTGCTATTTTTCTATTTAGTTTAAACTTTAAAGAGAGTACTCATGACTGCACACACACATGGAAGACAAATATTGTGCTCAAATGTTGAGTTTGGCCGGTTGCATGGTGTGGGAGCAACTCCTACTTACTTTGCCCACATATTGTACTGAAGGGAGCTTCCACTGCATTCCCCACCAGAATATGCAATCCAGCTCAATCTAGGTTATGTTACTGTGTCAGCTCGCGGAGATAGTCCGTTGCGAAGTCTGGAAAGAGTCAAATATACGGGCACAGGTCATGTTACTATGTCTCTATTCATTGCATTTGTTGTGTCACTTAACTAAATTCTCCCTAGTTTTCTCTGTCTGTCATTTTTGTAACTTCACCTTCCACAAATTTTGATTAATTGCTTGTCATTTCTTGTCCCTTGCAGCTGACACTAGGAAAACATGTTCATTATGAACTCTTCTATTCTGATGGGAAGTACGTGTTATGGACAAACTAATGCAGGTGATAGAGGCATCAGACCAACCCTCTGAACATTAGTACATGAAGTCATTTTGGAACTTTATTTATTTTTATGTTGTCTTAACCATAAAAATAAAAATAAATTAAAGTGTCTTCAAACAACTCCACCCATTCATTTTTGTAGTTGATGTGATGGGAAAATAATATGGTTTTGGAGTGTCTTCAAACTATTTTGCGTCACCTACTTGGAAGATTCCTAGCCTATCACACGTACAAGCACTAAAATATTTCATACATATATATAATATTGCTTAAATGTTCGAGGAAAAAAAAAAAACCTAGTTAGTAATGTCTTCAAAGCTCTTTATTACGTTCAAACTCTTGGACATTCAGAAAATTAAAGTCACTTTCACACCCATTTACATAATAAAGATTCAATACATTGTAAAACTTGCGAGTGTCAAACGAGAAGGTTCATGGCAATTCGGTGCTAATTAATTTGGTTTATAACAAAACTAATACTCAATTTGAATATAAATTAGGGAGGAAGAAAAAAGATAAAATTCGATCTGTGATCTTTGAAAGCACTCAACACCAAACAGAAGTATCATCAAATTATTTCATAATATATATTATATATGTAACCATCGTCACTTCAATTTTAAGCATTATGATGCACACATAAATTCTCCATTATATTGGAGCTTCCTCAATTGAGCATTCAGTTTTACATCATCAATTGGACTACAACATGCACAGAGACTAATTAAGATGTTGAATCACCTGTTAATTAATTTCATCTGATAACCCCCATAATATGTAACACAGAGAAATGTACCAATGTTTAACCATGTGACCTTTGTTTAGAAGCAACGGATCGAAATAATTATCAAATGATAATCCTCCAACAACAGTTAAGCTCAAAATTTTTGACTTCCAAAGAGCTTGGATTAGAAATTTGACGATTACTTAGTCCAATTTCAAACCTTTTTTTTTTTTTTTTTTCCTCTCTCAAAAGTTTAAGCAGATGGGCCTACTCATAATACTGTTTTCAATTGGACTCGAACATTCAACCTCTCATTTGAGAGAGATGGGAGAGATCATACCATCTAAATGCTCATTGGTACATGTCTCATAAAAGGAACCTAAAAGAAAAACACCATTGCACCTCTTAAAATTTTTAATGAAACAGTACATGAGATTTTAACGTCATAGAAAGGGATGAATGAAATAAACTTCATCAACACCCTCATGAAAATGATGAGAATATAAATTTTCGGAAACAAAAAATAAAAAATAAAAGTGATTACATTGCATTCTTTGTCTGGTGTGGGTCCAAGTCAAAATACAATGAATAGTAGACTATGCATCGATTTGCATTGCCTTTGCTTACGGTGAATCCACTTTTGAAATACAAAGCCCATGGTTGGCAGTCTGTTGACTCGACTTTGAAATAGCCTCAATCTCATTGGGCTGAGTTGGTGGACTACACCCCTTAATTCTAGACACCTATAATAAAAAAATTATTTTTATATTCAATTTGTCACTTCAACTTTGTAACATCTCTTCCTTCACACAACTTTAGTCTCTCTCCTCAAATACGGTATGTTTTTTTTTTTTTTTTTTTTTTGTGAATAATACCAAAATGTTTTCAATAAAGAGATTAAAATTGAAAAAAAAAAAAATCATAGTCAAAATAAGACATTTGAAATATTTCCTTGAAGTGGCGCTCAAGAAAAGCATTTAAGATGTGATCCTTGAGGTCTCTGGGTGTTCTCTACCAACCTACCAAAAGTCTGACTGAACATAAATGACACAAGTTTACTAGTACAGACTCCACATAAATGACACGCTTGAGTAGCACGTAAGTTTATTCTTCATTATTAAATTAAAAAAAAATCAAAATCAACCCTTATTAACAAACTACGTAGTACTCCTTAGTAAGGAACAATATTGTCAATTGAGGTTTTTTTTTTTTTTTTTTTTTTTTCATATAATTTGATTTCCAAGTGTTTTTGCATATACATATGAGTTTACTTGAAAAAAAAAAAAATGTGTTTATATATTCATATATATATATATACTACGTATATATTTGTATTTTAAATTTTGGGAAAGACGACACTATTTGAGGAGGGAGAAAGTCTATTGCACCTGTATTTATGTGTTTGTATACACAGGCCCACAGGTCTTACAATTTGTACAATTGAAAACAAAAACTCTTTTCAAAACCACCAAAAACAAAATTAAAAGAAAAGAAAAAGCCTCATGACAGATACATAAATCTGTCAATGTGAGCCGCCAAAACTGGTTAAAAGTTGCACCCTAGTTTACGGAGCTAAACTCAGCTCCAGCTCAACCTGGCACGGGGCTTCATCTACACCGTTGATCTCTTCAACTGATGGCCCAACTCTTTCTTTCCTCGCAGCTGGCTCGAACCCTAGAGTCAGCGCCAGCTCGACTACGGTTCTATCGGTTCGCTCCACCAGCGACGCCTCCACCGTATCCCCCGACACGCAGTCCCCCTTCTCATTCTCTCCGCCGTGGCTGGAAGGCCCCGCATGCTGACTCACCACCGAGTCGTGACTCGCCGATCCCTCCACCTCGTTCTTGTGAGACAAGCCCCAAATCACCCGAGCCACCTCATCCACACCCAGCTCCGCCTTCGGCCTCCTCTTGAGAGGGGCGCGCTTGAACCGGCCGCCGCGAGTCTTGACCTTGTGCAGATCGCGGGAAGAAGCGGCGGAGTTCTCATCGTTGTTGGACACGTGTCGAATATCGCACGCCTTCAGAGGCGGGCTCATGGCGCTCAACGCTGTGTCGGGAGAAACTTGCACGATCGGAGCGCCATTGAGAACCGCTTCGACGGCGGCGTGACAGAGATGCCAGCTTCCCGACCACAGTAACCCTGCCGATCCGTAGATTGGATTCACAATCCGTCCACAAGCTTCGTAAAGCAGAGATCTAAAAATAGCTGAAATCAACCCCCAAAAATAAAAATTAATTTTAAATTGCTTTTCAAAACATGCAAAAACAAGAAAAGTAGTAGTACTAGTTTTCATTATATAATAATATATTAATAATGCATGTGTATGAATTTATATATAAAGCAGTAAATAAATAGTTACCGGGACGGAGGTGCTCAGGACCAGCTTTGATGAGGTTGTGGAGGCCAGCCCGGCCGTAGAATTTGGCGAGGAAGACGGTGGCGTTGGCTTGGGATTCAGGGGATTTGATCCATTGAAGACAGGGTCTGATGATGCAGTTTTCGCTGCAACCTTTGCGTAGAACTCGGCATCCATTACAGCTCATCCGCATCGCAACTATACTAACCAGCAAGTAATTATTTACCAGTAATATATATATATATATATATATATATATTTATATATCTCTGTGTGTGTATCTATATATATTTATGTATATCTATGAAGAGAGATAGAGAGAGGGTTCATATGGGGGGTGTTGGCGTGAGAGAGAGATGGAGGGGTTATATGGGGGGAATGGGTTTGTGACGGGGGTTGTTGGCAAGTAAGAGGAGCGCAGTGGTTTCCCAAATAGTGGTATTGTGGAGGAAGTCTGGCATTTTCTATGGCCACGGAAAGGTTGGTGAATTTTCTTTTGTGCCCTTTTTTTGTTTGATTATGAGGATTTTCTGTGGGTTAAAAAAGCATAAAAACGTTACATACCACCACTTATAAACAGTAAGATGTTTTGCTGAAGACTGGAGAGTCCAAAAAAAATTGAATTCCATAAATACAAAAAACCACCCTGAAAAGTTTTTCATTGTTTCTAAGGATTATAATATATAAATAGTATTAATGCTTTACATTTATTATTAGATGGAGTTAAAGTATTATATTTTTGAAAAAATAAAAATATGAAAAAATATTATTTATCTTCGTAGAAATATCACAATTAGACACATAAGTATCACTTTTTTGTACATACATGTATCACTTTTTATATATCAAGTAACAAAAGTGGTTCATGATATACAAAAAAATGGTACTTATGTAAATAAAAGTGGTACTCTATACCCAAAACAAAAGTGGTACCTGATGCACAAAAAGTAATACTTACATGCATAAAAAAAATGGTACATATGTGTCTAATAGTGATATTTCTGTGAAAGTGAACAATGTTTTTTTATATTCACATTAGTATTTTGATCAATTTTATTTTTTTAAAACTATAAGGCTTTAACTTAATCAAATAATAAATGTCGGTCATTAGCATCACTTATATATAATAATCCCTTGTTTTAATATAAAATCCATTTTTTTTGGTTCTAGATACAACCGGGGTTAAAATTGAGGACAGAACGGTCTGTTAGCATAGAGCGGAAAAGGATGGCAAGAGAGTAAATAAAGATGAATGAGGATGGCAAACAAGCAGGACACAGGCCATGCAAGTGGGTCCAAAACAGTGAAAGCCGGAGGTGCAAACACGTGTTAAGAGCTACAGCAGTGAGAGCATGGCGGCTCGCCACATAATCTGGAGTTGCTGAGTTCCAGAATCACGCTCTTTGTTTGTTGAACATGTTTGGATGCATGCGTAGGAGATGGGTCCAAAACCCCAAGCCTCTCTGTTACATTTTTTGTCCTTTTGCTGTGTAATCTAATCCAAAATTGTGTGCACTTCTTTATGATCAAAGAGAAAATTAGTCATAAATTAAGGATACAACATTACATACTACATTAAACGCGTAATATTATATTACTTTTCCCCCACAATAGAAGTTTATATTTAAAAATTAAAATTTTTTAAAAAATATGTAATTAATGTATTGTTTCTTTTTAAAATTATCAAATTATTCGTTTAATTTAAATATATATAGTTACAAATTTTAAAATTTTTTTTTTTTTAAAAAAGACAATGATAAAAATATAAAGAAAATATGTTTTGATTTTTCAAAGAAGAAAATTAATTTGAGACATTAAAAAGAAAAAAATAAATTATTAATATGGAACGAATGAAATAAAATTTAACATTTTTTTTGTCTTAAAAATAATAATAATAATAATAATTCAGGTCCCATTTCAAATCCCTCTACTCTTAAACCATTGGACTAAAATCCCCTTTGTTGTACGAATTTTTTATTCATCATTTCTACCATTCCATTGTCCATGTTTTTTAATCCTTGTTTCCAAACAACCATAAGATGTGAAGGAAAAAAGGCGCGTGAGAGAGGCAGTGTTTGGTTGGGAGTGAGAGAAGAGAAAGAGAAGGGAGACGCCCACATTTCTCAACCCCGGTTTTGTGGAAACCTTACGGCGGTTAGAAATGGAAAATGACATGATCTGTGGGCGCCTCTGGACTTGGGCCTCTGGTTTTGGTGTCCCATTCTTATCCCATAAGCCCGGAGCCGACCTCCTTTTTTCTATTCTTTTCCTCTCCCTCTTCCTTCCTAATATGACCATTCTTTTCTTTTTTCTTCTCTTATTCTTAAAAGGGGAACCAAACATTGGATAAACTACGACTTATTACACGGCATGTGACTCAACAAGTAAAGAAAAAGAAAGAAAAAGGTCACTTGTGCTGATGGAAGCAATATTTATGCAAAGATTTAATCACAATAAATAGTAAATTATGACTTTGGAGTTTGGATGCGTCTAGAGATAAGAGTAGACTATTTTTCGCACATTTGTCCACATAAATTAAAACACATCATTCAAGAGTGAATCCTAATATTCAAATCATATCCTAAGGTTGCTTTTAAGAACTGTCTACTCTTTCACATCCCACTTTCCCAAACCTATTGAGGGACCAAAACTTTTTCTTATTCAACTGTACCCTATATATTGTTGAGAAATAGGGACAGTACTCTCTTATTTCCCAATCTGATAGTCAAACCTTTTTATGATGGTTTGTTTGGTTGAATTTTATAAAAATTAGAATGGAAAGAAAATTAGGCTGAAATATGATTTGGAAGTAATAATAAAGCCCAATTTTTAGAAAATGATTTTTAATATTTCAAATCATATCCCTTTATCCCTATGTGATAGTCAACCTTTTTATGATGGTTTGTTTGGTTGAATTTTATAAAAATTAGAATGGAAAGAAAATTAGGCTGAAATATGATTTGGAAGCAATAATAAAGCCCAATTTTTAGAAAATGATTTTTAAAATTTCCTTCAAATAATTTTCTAGTTTTCATAGTTTTTGAAAATCCTTTTCAGGGATTTCCCTCTTGTTCTCTTTTTCATTATTACAAATTTCAAATAATCACCTTACTGAAGAAAATTTTAATTCTTATTGAAAATGTTTCAAATAATCACTGATATGTTTTACACAAATTTATTTATTTATTTACTTATTTTGTATGGCCGGGAGGAGGTGACGTACTGAATTAATGTATGAGACATATATATAACCATGCTAATTTTAATGTTTTGATGCATTTTATCTTCGGATAAAGGATTAGGTTTGCTTTTAATACCAATTGTAACGGGTGTGCACTTATTCATTTATTTAACAACTTAAGTTATTGACTAATAATGCATACACATTTATTTATACCAAATTATTATTCCATCCGAATTAAACATGGAACAAATGACTCATTATAAGAACTACTTCCCACTATTTTAACAAAAACTGTGAACGAAGTATTAACTCAAACTTATGAAACTTACAAGGAACTGAACAAATTAACAAAGTAATAAAACACATTTTTGCTAAACCTTTTTATTTCACGGGGTTGATGACATACTAGTCTTAACTGACTCAAATATTTTGCCCGCTTTGGTAAAATATATATACATATATATTATGCCAGCTAGCCAAATTGGAATAGTTTGTTTGTCTTGCAGCTTTTTGACCCCTACGTAACTCCTCACAGCTCTAATAGAAAAATAAATTTCAAAAAGAAAAATTATTTGGAATTCAAACAAGAAAAATATCTAAAAACATAAAGTCCCAAAAAATTAATGTTATATACAAAATGTGCAAGAGTGTTTAATAAAATTTCCTATATTTTTCGAATTGAGCAAATAATGGTATTTTGTCGATTTGAAGAGTGAAATACTTAAATATTTTTGAGACAACAAAATTAAAAATATTTATTTTAGTTTTTAATTGTTACTAAGGGTATTTTTTGGGTTTCTATATATATAAAAAAATTTGTCAAAATTGATGGTGACCGATATTAGGTGCTCATATTTTCAAATGTCAGTGATTTATATGCACATGCTATATGTATGTGTGTATATGTGTATATATATATATATATATATTTTATTGTTAGAAGGGGAGACTTATCTCACGTTAGATTTGGATGGAAAGTAAAATGGGTATAAATGAATGTGTATGCAATATTACCGATTAAACTTTTGGGTAAATGTGCAACCACCAACCGTTACATTTATTCTTTATAAGATAAGATGACATTTACACAAATCTCATCCACCCAATGGAATAGCTTAATATCTCAAAGAATATCTTGAAGGTTAGGAGTTTGAATCTATCTTAAAGAACATCTTGAAGGTTAGGAGTTTGAAAAAATCTCAAAGAATTTTTCGAGTAATTGTTGGTGTATGTGGGACGGAGGATTCCATGTATCCGGTTTTAAATTATGAGATATTTTTAATAACTTGATGAGGAGTGCTAGTGGCCTTAGAGTAATTGCCTAGTGCATGTGTGTGACGGATGAATATATGTTTCCGGTGGTAAATTATGAGATATTTTTAACAATTCAATGAGAAGTGCTAGTGGCCCTAGTGGCTAGGGTGATGGTCGTTAGACACTCGTCTTTAGTTATCGGTTAAAAACCAATTACTGATGTTGAAATGTTGAGTGATTAATTCTCAACCAATAACAACAATCGTAAAAAATTAAAAAGATTAAAATTACAAAAGTTGCAGTGATCAATTAAAAAATTTTCACTCCACGTTTTAACATTAGTGAAGATTAATATTAGCTAACCACTGAAGGTGTGAGTGTCAAAGCAGCATTTTCAATAAACTCACAGAAATAGATTTATGCAATTATGCACTCCAAATTTGGCAATATTGCAAAAAGTAATACCATTGGCTCTTGGAATTCCAAGACTCTTTATTTATTTTATTTTTTTAATTTTTCTTTTGTTTTCCCTTTCTTTTCACCTTTATAAATTTATCAACTCAGTCCCGTTACATTCAACCAATCTCTATTTTTTTAACACTCAATCCAGTTCCTCGATCACTACATTACAACTACAATTCTCAAGTCAACCAATCAAATAATAAGTTTTCGTTGTTAGAAATATAAGCGTTGAAAAAAAACATAAAATATATATATATTAAAAAATATAAAAATTAAAATATTATTAATTTTAGAGAGTGAGCGTGCGCCATCATGACTCTTTTGCTAGCCAGTTCGAAGTGTTATTGTGAGTAAAAAAAATATATATATAAAATAAAATTAATGACTGACAAATTTAGAGAGTCAAGACTTGAAAAGCTCGTTGAAAATGCTCCAGCACTCCTCTAATTTGATTGCCATCACTCGTCTTCATAATATGGGCTCACCCGATTTATGGGCCCCGGAAAGACCAACTTTTAACAACCAAAGCTGCCCACGAACCTGGATCATTCACTGTCGTGACGTCAAAAAAGCTAAATAAGTATAAAATTAAATAAATAAAACTGAAAAAGAAAAAACATTGTTATAAATGATTGAGAGACCTAAGAGTTGGGCACCTATTTTCCCGGGAACGCGGACAGGTTTCATAGCTCCCTTAGAAGACCAACGGTACACGGAAGACCAACAAACAACAATAATTAATTTAATTTAATTAAAATTGTGTGTTTTTTTGTTATGAGTTTGCTAAAAAATTTACGAACGTGTATAAGTTTACGTCTTGTACCATCAGTTCATTGATCTCTTGCAGGACTTGAACATTGACCCATTTCTATCTAATATTGTAATCATACTTCGAAATTTTTTCTTGGGTCTGATTTTCAGGCTTTGTGTGTGAATCAAATATGTGTTCTGGTGCTTAATTTTGGTAAGTTTGATCTCATAATTTACTGTTCTGGTTTTTTTATTTTTATTTTTGCCGTTGTCTCATATTACATTTTCAATTCATTTGTCTGATGTTCTTGCAAGAGTTAATCATCGTTACCCACTTTGTATCTAATGTCATAATCATACCTTTTTTAGGCTTGTCTCTTGGGTTCTCTTGGTCTTTGATGTTGAGGTTTTGTGGAACACAGTTGTAGTTTTTGAATTTTTGATTCTATTGCTTTTGGTGGACTTGATATATGATTTTTGTAATTCTAGTGATTTTGGGGTTATCTGAATCATCCAATTGGGTTCATAGATTGACAGTTAGACTTCGAAGATTTTACCTTCTCTTTGTTATGCATTGATAAATTTCACTTTCATTTGGGATTTAATCATATGATTAAAGACCATTTCTCTCATTACTATTGGTATAGTTATTTATTTGAAATTTGTATTTTCTCAATAAAAGTAACTTTTCTCAACATCCACGGTCATACACATTTGTGATCGTCGACCCTAATAATTGAAGTTCATGGTTATTTTATGTGATTGTTTGAGATGGGTTGTAAATTTACTCCATCTTCAGACTTTTCAACATTTGTCAAAGGCGTACATCACATTTGATAACAGCCGTCTGATTGCACAACTTATTCTTTCTGCAATAACAGTCCAATTGTGGTGGTATAATTCTATGAATCATATCAGATTTTACTTGAATGGATAAATTAGCCATTTTTTAAAGGTATAAAAAGGTTCAATATAGTATTGTTCCATAAGTGCAGTGTACCTTGCCGTCGATGGCTTGAAACATTAAATGGTAGAAGATTTGGTTCATTTATGCAGCTTGTTGAGCCATTAGTTATGATGATCTAAATAATATGTTATTTTGGGGATTTAGTTTTTCATGTTTGTCTATGTCTTGATGATTGTGTATTTTGGCCTTATGAAAACAACTTTATTGTGTTTACGTAGTTGAGCTTTGAAGCCAGATGCCTCCACCCCCATCATGAATTCTGTGACGGATAGCCAAGCAAAGGAAAATGGTAGAATGAACAATTCAATTGTATCTGCTAGTGATGTTTTTGACCCTGCGGTAAATAGTAATTGTGAGGCTGAAGGTAAGGAATTTTGATTTTCCCCATTGTTTGCTAATTTGTCCTGTTCATTAAATAAACCGGGATCTATTTTTTTTTTTTACCCCCCTTTTTCTACAGCCAAGCAGCGAGCATCTTTGGCGGAATGGTTAAACAGTATTCTTCCTAATTTAAATTTGCCAAAAAATGCTTCAGAAGAAGAACTGAGAGCTTGCTTGATTGATGGTACTGTTCTGTGTCAAATTTTGAACAAGCTGAGACCAGGGTCTGTCATTGAGGTTGTTAAACAATTTTGGTTTGTTTATATGAAGTTACAATAAGAGCTGAATATTAAACAGTTGATATAATGATTGTGCTCTTAATATGAATTTTCTGTTCTAGTATGGTGGTTCTGATTCGCGCTCCGAAAATGTTAAAGCGTTTCTGGCAGCTATGGATAAAATGAGGTTGCCCAGGTTTAAAGCATCAGACATAGAGAAGGTATACAATATATAGATGAACTAGTTTTTCACTTCATAATCTTTTACACTGATTGTCATATTTTTAGCTCAATAGTATTCAAACACCACATTGTATGCCATATTTTTAGCACAGTTATATTTAAACATCACATTGTATTGGTCATGAACTTGAACATTTTTTAAAATATGCTTAAGAAATTGTGTCTGTCTTGTGTGAGAAAGAATACAAATCTGTATATGTCATAACGTATAGGTCATTCTGCTAACTTTTCTATTCTTATCCACTTGTTGGTCTGCTCCCTAGAGCTCCTGCCAATTATTTTCTCTCTCTGTCTCTCTCTCTGCGCGCCCGACGTGTGTGAGTGTTTACTTTTACATTATGCAGGGTCCAATAAAAAATATTTTGGAGTGCCTTCTAACGCTTAGAACACGCCTTATGCCAAATATGGGGGGATATAATCTTCTGAACACTAGTGCAGCCAATAAAACTGGAAGTGATGCTAGTGGGAGGTGGAAACTCGTAGGAGAGCGCATTGGAAGCACTTATGGTTCTCAAAAGGGCGTATCAGACTCAAAATTCCAAAGTCCTGTCATGGCAGGTATGGTTCTCTCTCTCTCTATCTCACTGTCTTTGCATAATGCAGCTAGGTTGAATCATGAAAAGGAAACTTATTATTGCATGGACTTATTGTATGAAAACTCTCTAAAATTGTACACCATTAACCGTTGTATTTTGGAATATATAATTGGTTTTAAGCATGTTGGTTTTTGGGCTCCGTTACAGTGATGTAGGTATTAAACACGGAATGGTGGAAGATTAGTACAGTGGGTTATAGTGAAAATGAGATAGTATTACAGTGCTTAGAGTCTCTTGTGTATAGGGTTTTAGGATCCTGTTCCAGCTCCAATTAGGATTCAATTCCATTATAGTAAGCTGGTTGAAGCTTGAAAGGTTTTGTCCTTTGAAAATTTTATTTTCCTGCCTATGATGGATCGGTTGTGCAGTTCGATAAATCGAAATGCTAACAAAGTTCAATACATCAATGTATGGGTCATTGATCTCTCTTGACAGGTCAACCGATGGTTGATTGATCGAGCAGCTATTGAAATGGCATATAGTTACTCATATGCCAAACGTGGCTAATTTAGTAGAATTAACTTGCCATTCAGTCTCATAAGTTCTGCGTGCAATCTTTTGCATTCAAATTCTTAATGTTTGCCTTGTTTTTTCCTCATTCGTAGAGACATCGGCTGCATTAATACATCATGTTGGACATAAGTTTCATGAAGTGTTTCAGCTGAAACAAGGAAGCTATGCAGATCTTCCTGCGGCAAAGATTTCAGAAATGATGAAATCAAACAGTTTGGATGTAAGTTCCTAAAGTCGTTTACTCATCACTGGATGTTATCTTTTGGTCATATTTTAGATCTCTACTTCTGACATCTTCATCTTCTTCTTGTTTAATGCATTTTGGTATCTCTTGTGTGCAGACTGCCCCAACTCAGTCTCTTTTGAGTGTTGTGAATGGAATTCTAGACGAAAGCATCGAAAGGAATAATGGGGAAATACCTCATGTATGGCTAATAGAGGACATATGGGTGTTCAATTAAAGCACATATATATTTTTATATTTAGATATTAATTCTGAAGTTACAATTTCACATAGTTTATTTTCTTTCTTTCCTCAGCGTGTGGCATGCCTATTGAGAAAAGTTGTGCAGGAGATTGAGCGGCGCATATCTACTCAAGCAGAGCATTTGAGAACTGTAACACTTGTTCTGAGTTCATTCTTTTTAATGGTTTTTTAACTTCTCTGCGCTTGTGTATTTATTGTTTTGTAACTACAGCAAAGCAATCTTTTCAAGACTCGGGAGGAGAAATACCAATCGAGAATCAGAGTACTCGAAGCCCTTGCAAGTGGGACTTGTGATGAGACACAGGTAGTTAATATAAGTTTAGCACAAACCAAGCCTTATTTAACCCAACTTTATGCATAAAAATACTATTTACTCTAGAATGCTTTTCTAGTTTCTATAATATTATTTTATTAATATTATTGTGTGAATGAGGATTAAGATTAGAAAAATGTATATATATATGTATATATATATATTTGTAGTAACATCACAATTCTGTTTTGGATTGATTGGGTTCTTTTGACCTCTAAACCATGAATTGAACCGACCCTAAATGTTTCCACTATTTATGGAACTAGAACCAAACCCTTAAGCCACAAAAATGAACCATATTGCATGGTTTGCATTGGTTCGAATAGAGTTGACAATTTGAATGGATCAGTGTCCACCCTTTATTTTTGAAAACATTTATGTTTATTTGCATTTGATATTCACCTGGTATTACCGAATTAAACAAGTGAAAGTTTCTTTGTTACAGTTTGTTGTGGACCAGCTCCAGCAAATAAAGGTACACAATTCCTTTTGAGCCACAATTTTCAAATTTTTGGTCCAGAGATGAGAAGCATGTTTTCTGTTGTTGTTCATGTGTGGTCTTGAAGTGCTCATATGCTATACTCTTCTTGATTTCATGCAGTGTTTGAAATTTGCATTTTCTTCATGCCTTTTTTTATGGATTATGTCTGACACGTCACCACGTTATTTTGGAAATATGCATGATACTGAAAATTTATTATTTTGAAAATCCCCTGTGAGCTCCTAAACCATGGTACTTGCATATGTATTTTGAGATTTAATATTTGCGCGATGGACTCCTACATTATATGTGTAAATGCTTTGTCAAAAAAAAACCACCCTAATAATTGCATGTTATTGGCTGGTTAATAATCATAAATTTGTGAGTTATATTCTTTTCCGAATTGGTTGATAACATTATGGTCTGTATCTGGTGTATAATACATCAAGGAAGATAGCCTGGAAGAATTGTGATATCATAATCTTATAATTCGGGATGTTATCTTTCTTTTTTGGTTTTATTTAGAATGACTGGTGTTATTGGTTATCAAGTAGAGTTAAGAAAAAATGAGAGTGACAGTACAGAAAGTAACAACGAAGAGGACAATATTCCATGAGTGCACACAGTGAGCGCCTCATCTTGGCCATATACAATGATCACTAGTAAATCAAGCAGTGAGTAAACGTGGCGTGCTTTACCATAAAAAGTAAGATACTAATGGTATTATGTTCCACATTCAGGGCAATGATGTACAACTGAACTTGCAAACCCAAGAAGTGAACCAAGCACGACTTCATTGGTTCAATGGTTTGGTTTTGTCCGCTTCTCTGGGAATTTGATTATGTCTTGGTTCATTCTATTCCCACTTTTATGTATAGACACACGCCAAGGGCTACACAAGCCTATTATTTTGATTGGTTCACCAATGGGTTGTGGGTCTTTTATTAGATTTCCATGATTGGGAGTTGATGAACTGACTCAAATTAATGGATCTATTTAATTTGATTAATAAATCTTGGTTTTAAACTGAAACCACTTTTTTCGGTTTTGCTTTATTTGGTTTTTTTAACATTTAGATTTGGTTTTGGGTTGTGATTTCATGACGTGACCTGGGGCAGCTTGGTTTTGGGTTAACCTAACACAAATCAAACCATTTCATGCGTGCTCCTCAAATTTTAGGATCTTGGTTGGAGTGTTGGATCAAAGCCTAAAATGTTGTTTGTGTGAGTGAAAAACGAAAATTGAGGTGGATTGATGCAATGAGAAAATATATGAGCAAAAAATAAATAAGGGGAAATTACACGAGCAGTTCTACCAAGGGCTGTACCTTAGTCATATCTCCTCTACCTATCAAAATGGAAGATGAGTGTTCGATTCCCCATAGGGGCAACTGGGTGTTTATGACCAGGAAAATAAATTACACAAACAGCAATTGCACTATGACCTGTTTTTAACTCACATCACTATACCATCTTCTTTTTATATTTTATATATATATATATATAAAGAAGCAATTGAGTCACCCCTTAGGTGATGACTCATGATAACTTAATCCCCACGATGGCATGCCTTAGCAGGATTATTAAACAAAATATGTGTGAGTATGTTTGAAAGTTATCTTCCAGTTAATAACATTTTTTTAGGACCAATGTTTATTTTTAGGACAAAACTAGTCCATCTTAGAACAAAAATGGATGTCCCATAAACTAAAAGTATAGTTATTCAAGTCACCATCAATGCTCTCTCTTAATGGTTGCTAATAATATGATAAGTAGCCCAAAAATAATAATAAATGGTTTGTTGTCCTCAAAAGATAAGTTACGGATGATAAACTATACATGAATAGAAATGCTAAACTAACCCTGGACAGAAACTATGACTGCCTTTTGGCCGAAGTTTCCATAATTTAGGGAATTATGACTAAATTGGCTGAAGTTTTAGTAATTGTGAATAAGTCTTATTCTGCTGGAGTTTTGGTAGTTGCAATTTATTTATTTTGGTCTAATATGGCTCAAGTTCTTATAATAGTTGATATTCTGGTATGACAAAGCCTCTTACAGAATCCATTTATGGCCACTGGGCTTTCCTGCTATATTGTTTATTTATTTGGATCTGGTGTTTGTTGGCTTTTACAAGTTACTCTGATCATATGGTACACGTGTCTTAGAATTTCTATCCACACTTTTGCTTATAGTTGAAATAAGAAGAGTGATACAATTTGGATTAATTACTTGGATTCTGACACATGGTATATGTTGAAATTAGGGTTCCAAGAGGAAGAGAAGAAGGAGATGGAGACACTGTTTTACGGATTTTTGTGTGAGAGAGATTAAACTTTTTCTCTCACGCTTATTTATATATATATCAATTACTATTACAATGAAATGACAAATTTCCCTTGAGAGAAGTACTTACCATATGTACATTCTAACACTCCCCCCTCAAACTGTTGAGTATTTATCATATAATCCTAAGAATAGTATATGATTCGAATCCAAAAGAGCATCAACCAGACGACCACCTAACAAGTCTAGCACATATTTTGTCTAAGAGAAACTTATATCTTGCTTGGCAATCTCAAGCCAAGAAATATCTTAGTGTGCCTAAATCTTTAGTATAGAAGCATTGCTGCAAATATTGTTTTAGTTTAGCAATACCCTCTGTGTCATTGTCGGTATTGACAATATCATCCACATATAAAATAAGAAATATAAAATTTGCCTGATAAAATATTAAATGATCTATCTGGCATCAGTGAGACCAAACTCTAATGTCACCTCAGAGAATTTGCCAAACCACGTCATTGGGGATTGTTTCAAACCATAAAAGGCCTTCTTTAACTGATAAACACAGTGATGATACTCCCCCTGAGCAACAAATCCAGGTGGTTGCTCCATATAGACCTCTTTTGCCAATTAACCATGTAGAAATGCATTTTTAACTTATAATTAAAACGAAATTCAATCAAGATTAGCAGCAAGATAAATCAAAACACAACAGGGTGAAACATCTCGTCATAATCAACACTACAAGTCTGTGTATAGTCTTTAGCAACAAGATGCGCTTTTAAGCGCTCAACAAAACCATCCATGGCACCAGGAGGTAATGAAACAAGATCCCACGTGTCATTGTGATGCAGCGTCTATTTCATCTTCCGTAGCTTTCCTCCAACGTGCATTAGACAAAGCAGCCTGGACGATCCTAGGAACTAACATAAAAGACAGAGATGGAAAAAAATTCAGAGAGAGAATACAATAAAAGTGATGCAGCCCTTTGGGCCTTTGTATGCCATGGATGTAAGCCTTAGTGGCTGAACCAAGTATATCCTTGTATTGTTTCATTCTCAATTTATCTCTTCAATCTTTAGTTTTTTTTATTAACATGGTATCAGAGCAGGTTTATCCGGATCTCAGGATTTACTCGTATCATATGGATATTTATATATATATTACAATGAAATGACAATATTGCCCTTGAGAGAAATACTAACTACCATATATACATTCTAACAGTGTGTGTATATATATATTTATATCGGAAGAAATCTGTTAAAATTCTGAAACACTGTATGATGTTATCATTCGAATTTAATTTTTGAAACTTGGAAATTTTGATCTGTTGTTTTCATCTACAGTGTAGATTCATTTAATTGTAAAATGATTCATATTTATTAATTTTTTTATTATAACCATATGCTCGAGGTGCCCATACAATGTACTGAGTCTACTGACCCGTTATCAATCAAGGCTGCAAGTCAAATAAGAATGGATTCATTTACTTATTCATAATTCTAAAATTTTCATACGTGCAACTAAGCTAAAATATCCTTAGACTTATTTCATGCGATATAGGCAGTTGAATGATCAAAGAAGAATGTAAACAACCCAACATAAATTAATTCTGACTTCCGGATTGCTGATTGATAGACAAACACACACACACACACACACACACACATCTTTGCATCCTTGATTGCCTATATATATTTTCATAAACACTGATATCAATTAGCTCCCAATGCACGAATGTGGGAGATGAGTACTAAATTTTCTTGTAATGCCAAATGGTTACCAAATGGAGCTGGATTTGGTTATTAGTTATTACTCGCTAGAATAAGTGAGAGGTCAAAATTTTGGAATATGTAATTTTTTTCTTTTTATTTTTTTCGCGTTGTTAATTTTAGTATATTTTTCTTACTTACAGACAGAGAAGACAAAAATGGAAGAAAAAAAGAAAGTTGAGGATCAGGACGTGGTTAGATTGATGGAAGAGAAGGATAACAGCACTCGTGAAATTTCGGCGCTGAAGCAAGAACTGGAAATGGCTAGAAAAACATATGAACAGCGCTTCTCACGAGTGGAAACAGAAGCTAAGGGAACCCATGAAGAGCTTGAGGAGAGGTTGAAGGAAGCTGGGCATCATCTAACAGAATCTAGGAATAGGATTAAAGAGCTTGAGACATATTCTGAGTCAAAATGTCAGCAGTGGAACAAGAAAGAGAATATCTACCAAATATTTACAGAATTTCAGCTTGGTGCACTGCGGGTATGCTTTGCCTGTAACGTCTTTACTATAAATTTTGATGTGTGATGTCATACATTTTATTTGAATTTACAAAATTCTTCAGGAGCTGAAGTTTGCTTCTCAGTCGATCAAGCAAGAGATTTTGAAAACACAAAGGAGCTATTCAGAGGAATTCAATCACTTAGGTGGGATCACTTGTTTACAGATCTTTGTTAATTTCTTGCTATTCATGTTTGTCTTCTCATGAATTAACATTTACGTTGTTCAGAGACAAAGATTAAGGCTTTAGCAGGTGAATCAGAAAACTATCATGCAGTCCTTGCTGAAAATAGGAAGATGTATAATGAGCTTCAAGATTTAAAAGGTTCCACTTCTTACATTGCCAACTTGCTTATTGTAAAGGTTCATATTTCACTAATGGGTTTTCTTGAATAGGAAACATTAGAGTTTATTGTCGGATAAGGCCATTTCTTCCTGGACAGACGGGGAAGCAGACAACTATAGAATATATTGGTGAAAATGGGGAGCTGGTTGTGGTTAACCCCTCCATAAATGGAAAAGATGGTCATCGGTCATTCAAGTTTAATAAGGTCTATGGTCCAGCCGCAACTCAAGGTTTTCATATTTATATTTGTGACTTTGTTTGATTGATGATGAAACTTACTAATTTTATTATGAGGTTTTATTCTAGTTAAATGCACTCTCTTATGTGAAGGAAATTATGAGGTGTCATGCTTTATTAAATTCTCTTTTGAATGCTTCCAGTGAACGTATTTTCTGATACCCAACCCTTGATACGATCTGTTCTGGATGGATACAATGTATGCATATTTGCTTATGGTCAAACAGGTTCAGGAAAAACCTACACAATGGTATAACCTTTTTCCTTTTCAGTTCAAAAATATAGTTACTGATATTGCTTAACACAGCTGATGCAATTTGATATGTTTCTTCTAGACTGGCCCTGAAGGAGCATCTGAAGAGGAATGGGGGGTCAATTATCGAGCTCTAAATGACCTTTTCCATATTTCTGAAAGTAGGAGAAACGTCTTCACATTTGACATTCGGGTTCAAATGATTGAGATATACAACGAACAAGTGCGCGATTTACTATCAAGTGATACTTCTCAGAAAAGATATCCTTCGCTATGTATTATCTATATGTATTGTCATCTCTCTTACATTAAGATTTACTTTATAGATAGATATGGAGTTTATTTTCAGATTGGAATCAACTTCCCATACAAACCTTTTTATTTTATTTCTTCCTATCATTGACTTGCATCGCGTTTTTCCATTACATTAGACTGTTGGAATTGCTAGCATTGTAGTCTGATTATCTTTCTTTTTCTCTTTCCTTTTTTTCCTTTTAATTTTAAATCGAGCTGACTTGGCATCCTTGTTTAAATTTTATGTGGTTAACAATGCAATACACTAGTTTTTTTTTTTTTTTTGCAATGAACCTTTGTTTCCCTTGATTTGCACACACTTGGGATTTTGTCTACCTCCCAACCCAATGGGTTAGCAGTCCCTGATGCTAGCATGCACTCTGTCAAATCAACCTCAGATGTATTGGAATTAATAGGGATTGGACAGAGGAATAGAGCTAAGGGTGCCACTGCCTTGAATGAGAGAAGTAGTAGATCACACAGGTCCTTTATTTTAATTATTAAACATTTATCTCCAATTTTTCTCTAATACTATTTGGATGTTATGATTTTGATATTGGTTGTCTGAATACAGTGTTGTCACTGTTCATGTTCGTGGGACTGATCTCAAAAGTGGTGCTTCTTTGCGTGGTAGTCTTCATTTGGTAGATCTTGCAGGAAGTGAAAGAGTAGATCGCTCTGAAGTGACTGGAGATAGACTTAAGGAAGCACAACATATAAACAAATCTTTATCCGCACTTGGAGATGTCATCTTTGCTTTGGCGCAAAAGAGCGCTCATGTTCCATACAGAAACAGCAAGCTTACTCAAGTCCTTCAAAGTTCTCTAGGTATTAGTCTGTTATTTGTTCCCTTTACAATGCCTTTGGATTGAACAAACTGGAAGGAAAGAGAAATAAAATATATAATATAAATTGTGTTTCGTTTAAACAATGAGGAGGGAAAGGAAAGGAAATAAAAAAGAAGCGAGAAGGGAGGATAACTCAACCCAATAGTGTTCTCAGGGTTATGATTGATGAATAGGGAAAAAAAATGTATGTACTCAAATATGCTCACATTCTCTCTTGCAGTCTCTCTCCACGTATGTGGGTTTTATAAGATAATATAGTATTTAACACAGAAATTGGGAAAAATTGAAGTATATTTCATGACTTTCTAATACAAAGCAGCCCGACCTTTATAGGCTGAATACAATCAGATCAAAATCCAGTAAATTAAGGAATAGACAACCAAATCCCTAAGATCAGGAAATAAAATAAGTCAACCTAAACTTTAATACACCAGCTATATTAGCCTATAATTAGTACAAAATCAGACAATTAATACTTTCCAAATTTATCTAACAATTACATAAATCACGTAATTCTCCAACACTCCCCCTCAAGCTGGGGAATAAATATCTTCCATCCCCAGCTTGCAGACAATTCTTTGAAACACAGGACTGGCTAACCCTTTGGTTAGTACATCAGCTAGTTGTCCTCTTGTTGAGACATACGGAGTGCAAATTAGTCCATTATCGAGCTTTTCCTTTATGAAATGGCGATCAACTTTCACATGCTTGGTGCGGTCATGTTACACTGGATTATGTACAATATTGATGGCTGACTTGTTATCACAATATAACTTCATCGGCCCCTCAACTGAAACTCTAAGATCCTTCAGGACTATTTTCAACCATAACAATTCACATATTCCTAAAGCCATGGCATGAAATTCAGCTTCTGCACTTGACCTTGCAACTACTGGTTACTTTTTGCTCCTTCATGTAACAAGATTCCCACCTAGGAAGGCACAATAGCCCGAGGTTGATCTTCTATCTGGCACTGAACTTGCATAGTCCGAGTCTTTGTAAACTTCTAAGTTCAAGCACAATCCTCTCTTGAACAATAAGCCTCGACCTGGAATAGATTTTAGATATTGCAGGATTCTGTATACTGCTTGGAGATGTACTTCCTTTGGGTTGTGCATAAGTTGGCTCACTACACTAACTGCATAGGCGATGTTAGGCCTGCTGTGAAACAAGTAGATTAATCTTCCAACATGTCTTTGATACATTCCTTTGTCAACTGGCTCATCATCAACAGCTTCTCCAAGCATATGATTCGGTTCAATGGGAGAATTCACGGGCTTATAGCCTATCTTTCCTGTTTCTTTCAGTAAATTAATCACATACTTTTGTTGTGAGACGAAAATTCCTGGAGCGAGCAACTTCAATTCCCAGGAAGTATTTCAACTTGCCTAGGTCTTTTATTTCAAATTCCGTGGCCAGCTTAGCTTTAAGAGTTTCCCTTTCAGCTTGATCATTGCCAATGACAATAATATCATCTACGTATACAATGAGGACTGTAACTCCCCCTGAAGAAGAGTGTTTTATGAACAAAGTATGATCACCTTGACTTTGTTTGTAACCCATTGCTGACATTGCTCTTGAAAACCTGCCAAACCAAGCCCTGGGGGATTGTTTCAGTCCGTACAGTGCCTTCCTTAGTCTGCATACCCTATTCTTCTTCGAAAAATTGAATCCTAGAGGAGCTTCCATATATATTTCTTCTTCAAGATCTCCATGCAGAAATGCATTTTTTACATCAAACTGCTGTAAAGTCCAATCAAAGTTAGCAGCCAGAGACAATAAAATTCTTACTGTGTTCATTTTTGCCACTGGGGCAAAAGTTTCTTGATAATCAACACCAAAGGTCTGGGTATATCCTTTTGCTACTAGCTTCGCCTTGTACCTTTTAAGAGATCCATTTGCATTGAATTTTACTGAAAACACCCATTTGCATCCCATAGTTTTTCTTTCCCTTCGGTAATTCGACCATCTCCCAAGTCTTGTTCTTTTCCAGTGGGTCCATCTCAACTTTCATGGCTTGTTTCCATTCCCTGCTGTTTAATGCCTCAGACAATGTTTTAGGAACTGCTATTGAGTTTAGATGAGTAAGGAAGGCTCCATGTGAGGGAGATAATTTTTCAAAGGAGACAAAATGAGAGAGTGGATTTTGTGTACACCTTCAGGTACCTTTTCGAACTGCAATAGGTAGTTCTAAATCAGTCTCATCAAACACACGAGTGGAATTGTTTACCTAAGTAGTATTTTTCTCCTGAGTGGTTTTTTTCCCAAGTATAGGTTATGACTTTTGGGCTTGCTTCAAATTAGTATTGCCTCCCTTCCTTCTCGAAAAAACTTGAAGTGGTTTAGTGACTACCGGATTGATTGATGGAGTTGGATTTTTAGGAGGAGATTGTGGTTGAGATTCAGGAGATGTCACACTTAGATTTTGAAGTGGAGGAATATCAGAACTGGGATCGGAAGTAGGTAGTGAAACCTGGGAATGAATGTGATTCGGACTTGTAGAAGCTGCGGTAAGAGGGGAACCAAAGGAAACCGAGGCAAGAGCGGTTGCAGAACTTGGACTCAAAGATGGTGGTGACAATTTGGGCATAAGATCGAAATCGAGGACATTTGCATCATCATCCTTTTCATCACTTGTTACCTCCCCCTGAGGAGAATGATGATGAAAGAAACTATCATGTTCAACAAATGTGACATCAATTGAAATGTAGGTTTTCCGAGTAGGCGGATGGTAACATTTGTAACCTTTTTGAGTTGAAGAGTAACCTATAAAAATACATTTAAGTGCTCGGGGATCAAGTTTGCTTTGATTGTGAGCATGAACATGAGTACAGACCACACACCCAAATACCCAAGGAAATAACCTGTTTGGAGTAAGGAAGTCTGGAAAATGATGTGAAAGTGTTTCCCAAGGACTTCTAAAATATAAGACTTTGGTAGGTAATTGGTTGATGAGATGAGTGGCTGTGAGAATGGCTTCCCCCCAAAAATATTTTGGAACTTGTCTTTGAAAAAAAAGAGCACGGGTGGTTTTGAGAAGATGTCCATTCTTTCTTTCGGCCACCCATTTTGTTAGGGTGTATCAATGCATGAGGACTCATGAACTATTCCCTCTTGATTTAAATATGGTGAAAGAATTTGGTTAAAATATTCTCTCCCATTGTCTGTCCTCACCCTTTTAATTTTCACTCCAAACTGTGTTTTTATCATGTTATGAAATATTGGAAAGATATTGGCTACATTAGATTTTTGCTTTATGAGAAAAGTCCAAGTTACCCGGGTACAATCATCTATAAAAATGACAAACCAATGTGCCCCAGAATAATTAGCAACCCGTGAAGGACCCCAAACATTACTGTGCATCAAATAAAAAGGAACTGATGATTTATTATTGCTCAAAGGAAAGGAAACACGTTTGTGTTTGGCAATTTCACAAATATCACAATGAAGTTGTTTCAAATCAACATTTTTAAACAAAGAATGAAACATAAGACTGAGAGTTCTAAAGGAAGGATGACCAAGCTAAAAATGATGAAGGAGAATTTTGTCTTTATTTGTGGAGGAATCAGACAGAAGCACAGATGAACAACCAATTCCAATACTCACTTTTCCACTCATGGGTTCGAGACAGTAGAGACCATCCTTTTCTTTAGCATGCCCAATCGTCTTCCCTGAAGCTTGGTCTTGAAACACACATAAATTTTTTTTAGAAAATAAGATTGCAGTTCATATCCTTGGTGATTTGTTTGACAGATAAAAGATTGGTTGTCAATTTGGGCACTTGTAAAACATTTTTAAGACACAAGGAAGGTCCTAAGGATATGTCCCCCTGTCCTGCAACAATGACTAAATTCCCATCAACTATGGTGATCTTTTTATTACTAGGGCATGGTTTATAAGAAGAAAAAGATTGGGATGAGTTGGTCATATGGTCGGTTGCCCTTGAGTCGACAATCCAAGAATGTGGGTGGATTAAAACATTATCTGAGACACTAAGAGCATGAGAACCAGAATACATACCAGAAAGTGCTAATGAACAAGCACCTGTAGGTTCTTCGAGTGAATCAAGAAGGGATCAGAGGGGATCAATGTCTTCCTTACAGAATTCTCTGCTGCTGGAATTCGGTTGATCACTGGTATTATTAGTGCTATTTTGTGCAACATGGGCTTGTCCCTTTTGCTGCCAGCTTCTTCCTCTGGAATTCCGGTTTGACTGATTCATGTTTTGTGGCCTTCCATGTAGCTTATAGCAGGTGTCTTTCGTATGACCAGTTTTCTTGCAATAGTTACATACTAGATTCTCTTTGAATGTCCTCTTCGGGTCAGATTTCTTATAATTAGTAGTAGCTGAAGACTTCATCTCCAAAGTTTGCTCACTAGCAGGGGTTGAAAGTAGTGCCGATCCTTCCAATGGCTGCGAATCCAACATAACTCCTCTCCTGCTCTCTTCAGCACGAATAGTTGCGATTGCTTCATTTAAGGAGGACAATCATTTCCCCAAAGTCTAAACTCTTACAGTATCGAATTCCGGATTAAGGCCTGTTAAGAATTCATAGATTTGGTCTTTTTCTATGAAAGCCTTCAACAACACAACATCCTCGCTGTTTTTCATATCGAGAACCTGGTAATAATCCAACTCGTACCACAAATTTTTCAGAGTGTTGGCATACTTTGTTACAGTCTTGTTCCCTTGTTTTGTAACAGCTAGCTTCACCTTGATCTCGTACACCTGGGCTGCATCATTTTTCTTCAAATAAGTTTGTCTAATCGCCTCCCATATCTCTTGAGCGGTTGTCAAAAACGTGACAGTATCACTTATGTCGGGTACCATAGCATTCCATATCCATGACATGACCATTGAGTCTTCTTCGTCCCAAGCAGCAAACTTTAGATCTTCCTTCTTAGGCCCTTTTCCAAGAAGATGGTTGAGCTTGCCCTTCCCTTTCAGAAAGGTTTGAACAAGTTGAGACCACTTTAAATAGTTCGTTCCATTCAGCCTATACGCAGCTTGAATGTTCTGTAGATCTCAAGGAACCTGTTGTTGGATTTTAGGCTCCTCCGATTGAGAGCTGGTTTGTGTAACCTCTAACATCTCGTTTTTTTTCTTCTGTAAAAAACTGAACTCCAAGCTGTTATGAAATCTGTAAATGATGAAATATTTTATCCCAGAAAGAGCACCTAGGGCTCTGATACCATAACACAGAAATTAGGAAAAATTGAAGTATATTTCATGACTTTCTAATACAAAGCAGCCCGACCTTTATAGGATGAATACAATCAGATCAGAATACAGTAAATTAAGGAATATACAACCGAATCCCTAAGATTAGGAAATAAAATAAGAAATAAAATAAGTCAACCTAAACTTTAATACACCAGCTATATTAGCCTATAATTAGTACAAAATCAAACAGTTAATACTTTCCAAATTTATCTAACAATTACATAAATCACGTAATTCTCCAACAATATTTATAAACAAAACAAGGTTATAGAGAAATAGGGTTTTTAATGTTTCAATTCGAAAAGAAAACTGTTGTCTCAGAGAGATCAATTAATCCATCGATCAACATGGAATCATTAGCCTTTGATTGATCAATCGATCAAAGTGCCTTGTGCTCTTTACTTGGGAAATTTCAATTTTAACAAATTCCCCATTTTAATTCATTGCAATTAGGGTTTTACAGAATTAAAACATATAATGATGAAACCCTAATATATGAATGCATGAACCCTAATTTGTGACTGCATATATGCTTGTCAAATTACCTTTATACCCTAATATATGAATGCATGAACCCTAATTTGTGACACCATATATGCGTGTCAAATTACCTTTTTACCCTTGGCTTCGAGGATTATTTTTCTGCCCGTAGTTGTAGCTTGAATTCCAACTTTGAACATGATCATGAGGTAACTTACTTGACTTTACACTCACTACCTTATCGAAAAAAATAAATAAATAACTTGACACTGACTAATTTTTAAAACTCTTAACTAAATTAGCTATCAAAATAAAAATACTGACTCTAGTTTTGATCCATGAAATATGTCGAGTCTTATTGATCTAAAACTCTCACACATTAATTTACACAATCCCTTCCTTTCTTTTTTTATTATTATTTTTTCCAAATATGATGAAGGTACTGGTATTGTGTTCTTTCTTTTCCCCACTTGATTAGCCAAACAAGACGAGAGGTTAATACTATCCTCTCATTTCCTTTCTTTTCTATCCTAACTAATAATATTCTCTCTCTCTCTCTCTCTCTCTCTCTCGCTCTCTCTCTCTACCCTCTTACTTTTCTCCTTTCCTTTTCCTCTTACTTATCTAGCCACATTATCAGTCTTGGGATGCTTGCTTTGAATTACTTCATTGTTTCTTTAAGTTAGGAGATTTGTATTCATGTTCTCAATTCTGGAGGGGCTCTCACGTTCTCCATGTGTACTCCTTACCTCATAGTAGTGGTTCTCTATCTTTAGTCCTGGCTTAAGAAGCTATTACCTGGAAGCATTTTGGTAGATTTGGTTTTATGATTGATGATATTGCAAAGTTTAAATCATTTTGAAACTATTTCATCCATGAACTATCCTAATCTCAGGCGGGGCATGGGTAAATTGGACATTCCACATTTGGAAAACCAAGTAGGAGAGTAAAATGCATGTTCCTCAATAGATACTAGATTTGTATATATTTAAATGCATGTTCCTCAATAGATACTAGATTTGTATATATTTTTCTTCTGGGAAATGTTATTCAAACTCCACTTTTGTATTCTTGCACTTCATTCGCTTTTTTTAGATGGGAAATGACATAGCTTTCCTTCAAAAGCACTTTCACACTCCTATTTTCTCAAAAGGTACTCTTGCACTCCAGTTTTGAAGGGTAATAGTGTCATTTTGATTTTAAAAAAATAAAGTTGAATGTAAGAGTATAGAAGTGGATTATGAATTCCACATTCCTTTTCTTTTAAAGTTAAATTTGTATATTTACTTCTTGCATTTGACGTTACAGGTGGCCAAGCAAAGACCCTTATGTTTGTGCAGCTTAATCCTGATGCAAGTTCGTATTCTGAAACTGTAAGTACCTTGAAGTTTGCGGAGAGGGTCTCTGGAGTCGAGCTAGGTGCTGCAAAGAGCAGCAAAGAGGGCAGGGATGTTAGAGAATTAATGGAACAGGTGCTCTGTTTTTCATGTCATTCCTTTTACATTCCTGATTAGAATTTTGAATGGTTTCATACTAATGTTCATGCATCATTTTTTATTTTTTATTTTTTTTGTTTTAACCTTTACTTTGCTCTGAAGATCATATACTGTACACCCCAAGGGGTTGGCCTAGTGGAAGAGGCTTGGGACTTGGAGCCTCATTAACCTTCAGGTCTCAGGTTCGATTCCTCTTAGGTGCGAGCAATTTCTTGGGGCCACGACCGAGGACATAGTCCGAGTTTTACCCGGTCCGTGTGGGGAGTCGCCTTGCACGGGTTCTCGGGATTAGTCGGGGCAAAACCTCGGATACCTCGGGTTTCCAAAAAAAAAAGATCATATACTGTACTGATGAAACAATCTTTTAGCTAGAACCCATGTGCTAATGGGAACTTCATGATTTGAAATACCATGTCTGGAATCTCCATATAAGTAAAATGGACTAGTCTGACACTGCTAATAAAGATTCTCTCTTAAAAGTAGCAAACATAAAGGGATCTTATATCTTGCATCTTGAATTCATTCATTTTTCCTGATCTGTGACAAAATTAGTGGTGACTGGTGATGGTTGGTTGCATTGTTTACTACGTTTGTCATCCAAATATGTCAATTTCAATATTTGGATGGAATCAATAAGAATATGTTTTTTTAAATGTTGATAAAGAGGAACAATAACTGCAAGGGAAACAAGTGACAGAACATTGCACTAATTGCAATCTAACAATTGACTTTGATATCATGTTAGAAGTGCTGATTGAGCTTTGAGAGAAATGAAACATAGAGCCTTACTGAAGATTGTTGTAATATTTATATTATTATAATTTAAAAAGACTAAAATTTCAATATTACCCCTGTAAGTTAGAGAGGGGCTGCTGATGCAGGCACAATGACTACGGAAATATCGTCTTTTTAAATTTTTTTTGTAAGTAAATTAATAAAAAACAGAAAAAGAGAGAAATAAATTATCTGAATGTTAGCAAAAGAGAAACAATGAGAGAACAAGTTCACCTCTTTTGATCAAAATTAATGCTCGAAAAAAAAAAAAAAAAAAAACCTGCTGGAATTTACTTCTGGAAGGGTTGGCGGCATAATCATCTTCCTTGCCCTTTTTGTAATGAATATTGAAGAGGTTATCATATTAATATTACAAAATTGCAGTTCATTATAATAAAACCTTTTGTTTTGTTTTCTGATTTTCTTTTCAAAGAGAATGTGTCACTCGTTACTCATTTTATGGTGATTTGGACCAAACCTGGGGAGGTTTCTGAGTAATTTACTCAATAAATATTTGGAACTGATGTTGTCATGTTCAAAGCATATACAATGTGATCCCTTAAAAATTTGTTGCCCATGCAGATGGCATCTCTCAAAGATACAATTGGAAAGAAAGATGAGGAAATTGAGCGGTTGCAACTGCTTAAAGATCCAAAAAATGTGAGTGTCCACAGTGACAAGCGAGTTAGAAGCTCATTGAGGAATAGCTCTTCCTCATCAAGCAAAAATTCCCCAGGTAGAACTCCTCTGCAAAATTTAAAATTGTCTAAAGGGAAAGGTTCTGAGAAACCAGCTTCTGATCACGAGAACAGCTTAGAGAATAGTGATAAGCATTCTGAATCTAGTTCCCAGCAGGCAGCGGATGACGTTAAACACCAAAAGGAATCCCACCAGCAATCAAAACCTTGCGGAAGCGACATAGGTCAGAATTTTTCTGCAGATGCTGAGATCTTAGGATTCAGTGATGCAGAATATGAGAGAATAAGTGATGTATCTGATGATCGTCTTTCTATGGGAACAGAAACTGATGGCTCTGCAGAATCCAGTCCTTTCCCTGAAGGAACAAAATCATCAGAGACCAAAGACAAGTAAGTGTTGCTTATTTTCTCAAGGCATTAGTTGCTTTCCATTAAAATTCTTATAGGTTCAATTTTCATAGAATTTCAAAGAGGAGAAATTCCTGAACAACTAAAAAAAATGTGGTGGCCTGCTTTAACTATGCGATTCGATCTTCATGCATTACTTTCGAATGAGTTAGTGCCTTCTGGACAAATTGCTAGTGACCATATTCGTCCTTTCCATTGCAACCGGAGGCTTCTAATTCAGATATTGGTGCTTATTGCTCCAAAATATTATGATATGCTTATAAAAATAAAATAAAAAATTATGATATATACTCGATTGTTCTGTTTTTTGTAGTCACACCCTGTTCATTGTATATCACCTTTTTTTGAACTGTTTTTAACGACTTTTGGAGCATGTTTTTCTTTAATTTTCTTTTCTAATTCTAATTATATGCTGAAATTGGGATAAGAAAATCAATGTATAACTAGACCACGCTTTCAAAATTATTCTGTGCAGGCCGAAATCAGCGATTAGAATTCATCGACCCCCAAGAAAATTACCAAAGGACCCCTCAAATGAGTCAACTGGTATATAAAATTAGTGCTTCCCAGTTTAACTGCTAATCTTCGTAGTGGATAAAATGAGCTGATCCCTTCGTTGGAAATTCTGTTAATGTGAATTTTCTACAATTAATTTCAGGTTTGAGAAAGTCTTCTAGTGGGGGCAATTTGTCAGCTAAGCCTCCCAAAAGGTGGCTTTAGAAGGAAGTAATTGCAATTTTTTTCCCCCCTTTTGCAGTTTGTTCACTGATTTTGCTCTAACATGTTTATATTATGTATATATACATAAATATATATATGTATATACTATACACACACATATATACATGTATATATGTATTTTAACTGTACTGAGGTTCCTCAGCTCTCTGAACCTGTTTTTTACCCTTTTTGTTTGGTTCCCATGCCAGGCATTTTTGTATTATTTGGTGTTTATTGACGAAATTTGTGTTTGTAATATTTATATTAATTCTTGAAAATAGATAATAGAATACATCTTTTACAATGCATTCAATATGCAAAAGGCCAAACCAGGATTTTGAACTTGTTTCACCATTCAATCCACCAATCATCTTTTGTTTTATTTGTGCTGAACAGTGACACCAGGTGAAGTGTTTTATCAAGCTTTTGGTTTAGTGGTCTTTCCTTCTCATTCCAAAGGCAACATTAAGAGTTCAAGTTCTCTTATGAACAATAATGGGGTGCGCGTATGTAAACAACTTATTTATGTATGTATATGTACGAATTTCTTATTGTTGCAGACTTTAAAAAGAATTAGATATACCTAATCATACATACATACATGCATATCTAATTCTTTTTAAAGTCTGCAACAATAAGAAATTCGTACATATACATACATAAATAAGTTGTATATATGTTTTTCTGAGCCACTGGGCTCAAAGGTCATATTTGAATCATGGATTCATGATTTGACAAATGGAAAAAATTTGTGGAGGGTTTAGCCAATTACTCCATTCCTCTGGGCAAGCCTGGGCGGGAGAACAAGGTTACTTCAATTTTGTGTGGACAAGGATACTGATTTGGTGAAGTTGTAATGTTTGGATAATTCTTGTGTACCTCACAATTATGGTGGTTATCAATGAGTAATATATATATATATATATATATATATATATATTATTTAAGAAGAAATGGAGCTCTAAAATTGATTGTAGCCACAAATATAGAACTTTTGGGGACGGTAGGACATCTAACTAGTAAAAGACATGACGGTCCAACCACTAAATTGATTAGAACCACAATGTAGACGTTCATAGCAACTTGTCAATTTGATTAGTGGTCCATCAAGCCCTATTCTTTTCATTGAATTCACAAAATAGTAAAGTCATGTTCTCTTTTATTCTCCGAAAAACAATCTCAGAAAACAGAGAGTTGTTTGAAATTGCATGGTAACTTTTATTTCAAAAAAGGCTAAAAAAAAAAAAAAAAGAAAAAAAGAAAAAGAAAATATAAAATAAAATTTTAAGCTGGTTTGTTTTCTATTTTTTATTTTATTAAAAGAATATAAAACCATTTTCTTAAAGTACAACCCGACAACTTCTCAAATTTGTAAACTTGTTAGACACTTATTTTGTGGGGATCTCTTAAATGAATTATAGTTTATCATAGTAAGAAAAGTAATATAAAAAAATTAATAAAAAAGGAAAAAAATTTAAGGGTAAAGTACAATGATAAATCCTAGGGTTTGCCATATTGACATTAAATATAAATTGACTATTTTTTGGACAATAACACTCCTAAAGTTTGAAAAAGTTGACAAAGATACCTCTGTAGACACCTGCCACATATATGGCATGGGGAATTGACCAATTTGTCCTTTGACCGTTTAGTGGACTTTTTAACTTTACAACTTGATGAATTGGACCAATCTACATCTACCCCTCATTAACATTTGATGCAAAAAAGTTGAAGTGTTGAGTTTGATGAAAAATTTGCATAGCAGTAAATAACAAATTCATAGAAAATTTGTTTGAAATCAAAACGGAGCAAACAAAATTTTTTTGGAAAGTATACTCATGGAAGTATAAAACTATAAATTTTTGTGATGATCAGATGTCCAGAAGGTTGTCAAATAAATAAATTAAGAACTTGATTTCAAAAAGTGAAAAATTCCAAACAGCAGCTGTTGTCGAATTTTTATAAAAATATTTGTTTAGCAAAAAATTACGAAATTTGTCAGAGAGTAACTAGACATGTAGCAAGATCTTTGGTAAAAATTTAATAGTAATCGAAATATTACAACACCTTGGAGAAATTAATGAATTTCAGCACAATAAATTGGCGCCATTTTGTAGTTTATACTCAAGGGTAATTTTGATATTTTAACATGTTTGATATTTTACAATAAAATGAATTTAATACTAAGGGGCAATTTCGTCTTTTTGAACCATTTAAGGTTTTGTTTGGATGACAATTTTGACATGGGATGTCGTCATTGTTCAAAAAATAGTCAACTTGTATATGAGTGTCCATATAGCAAACCTTAGAGGTTGTCATTGTATTTTATCCAAAAATTAAACTCTATAAAGTAGGGGCGCTGGTGGTGGACCCACACTCCACCCGAGTGAGCATTTGGCGTGACACTAGGATTAAGAACTGGACCAACTCCAATACTATTTGTAATAGGTAGTGTTGCACATCCACCCTTGTTAGTCAATGATAGTTTCATCCCATCTCCCTTTTAGGAATAGGGAAAAACTCAGGTACCAAGTTGTGAAAATCGAGTCTAAGGCGTTCGAATTTATGACTTGCCTTAAGAATTCTCTTATTTATTGGGCCGCCCATGTAAATTATCTCTTATAAGTTGATTAAGCAAACTAGTGTAGTTATACCTTTGACTCAAAATTATTATTTTTGCACCATCACCTTTGTAAACTTCCATTTGATGACATTAGAAGCGAGTGTGATTTTATCTTTTTATCCTTAATGATTATTAGTTTTTAATTTAATATTAGAGTTAAAGTGCAAAAACAAAGGGTAAAATTGATGTTTTAATGAATAAATTTTGCTGACATTAGTAAATTCATTAACAAAGGTCACAAAGATTAATTAATTAATTTATTTTTTGCTGTTGTCCATTTATCCTACTTTGACTTATAGGTTTAACACCTCTTTTGCTCAGATGGTTTACATGTGGCAGGAGTCTGATAGACGCCCGAAGGTTTCGTGACACATATTCCACATCCTCTCATCTTCTATCAAAGAAAAAAATCTTGATTAAAAAATTGTGAAATTTTCACCATATATCATATGGGTATTTCTGTAATTAATTTGATTGAAAATTTGAAATGCAAATAAATATCTATAAGGGAGGAGTGGTTATGACCTCCCAAATGAAGGGCTGAAAGTCACTTACACCGTCATCTCATTCCTTCTCTTACTATAGATAAGATTTTGTTGGCTCTGCCACGTGGCGCACCGAGAAGGGTGCCAAACGATAAGGCACCTATCCAATCTCCACCCTCCATAATGTGGTCACCATGTTGCTACGCCATTCCAAATTAGATCCAACGGCTAAAACCCCCACACAAACCTACTCAGATTGAATCTGAACCTCACGATGGATATCTGGTAGAAACCAGTAGGTGAAGGGTGGTTTTTTTGAAGTTTATTTATAGGGCGAGGTAGCAAGGCAGTCTCTCTTCACAAAGACAATGGCTTCCATTTCAGCTACCGCCGCTGTTGCTACCATCAACCGTGCCACCCCCGCTCAAGCTAGCATGGTGGCGCCGTTCACCGGCCTTAAGTCCGCCGTTGCTTTCCCGGTTACCCGTAAGACCAACGACATCACCTCACTTCCCAGCAATGGTGGCAGAGTTCAATGCATGAAGGTAGCACACCTCTCCTACTAGCTCCAATTTTACAACAAACACTATCAAGCACATATAATTCTCAATTTTATATAAGCTAGTTACATAAATTAACATTATTTCGTTATTCAGTATGGTCTCGGTTAATGCTAATTACTTAATTTTTCATATATTACATGTAAAAAAGACTAAATCTTATTTTCAAATATTCCAACGCTCTCAAAGGTGACATTTTAATTTTTTATCCTGAAGTGTTAATTTTATTTGAGTTGGAATTTCCGAAAAGTCATTTTGTGCAAATAATGTGAGATAGGTTTTTGTATGGAGCCTACCGTAGCTCCCAACACATGATTCACATAACACACCCTTATTTGTACTTGCTAATTATATGGACCTAACGAACTCATAACACACACACAAAATCACACTAAAAGAAATGAAGAACATAGAAATTAAATTTTGGTGTGTATATATATATATATATATATATATATATATATATGAGAATTAAAGGAATTGCTAAAGTTGTAGGTTTTGGGATATGTTTCAGGTGTGGCCACCGCTTGGATTGCAGAAGTTTGAGACTCTCTCATACCTTCAACCACTTAGCAGAGAGGAATTGGCCAAGGAAATAGAGTACCTTATTCGCTCGAAATGGGTTCCTTGCTTGGAATTCGAGTTGGAGGTTATTTATTTATTTATTTATATATTTTAGCAAATATATAGTATTATAGTATATAAATTATGATTGTGATAAATTTGGATGAAATTTGAGCTCAATGTGATGGATGGTATGTTTGTTGTATTATGTATTTGTAGCATCCATTCGTGTACCGAAAGAACCACGCATCACCGGGGTACTATGATGGGCGTTACTGGGTGATGTGGAAGCTACCCATGTTCGGGTGCACGGATCCAGTGCAGGTATTGAAGGAGCTTGACGAGTGCGTTAAGGAATACCCTAGTGCCTTCGTTAGGATCATTGGCTTCGACAACGTTCGACAGGTGCAGTGTATTAGCTTTATTGCCTACAAGCCAACACCTCCTTGAAGCCTCCAGTTTCTGATCATTTCTATTTCTCTCTCTCGCAATCTCACTCTGTTGTTTTAGTGTTTTTCCCTTTTCATTTGAAGATGTAATTCCTTTGTCTTAATTTGTTTGATCTTCTTAGATCGAAGTTATGGAAAGGAATATTGTACGAGGATGATGAACCTTATTCTAAAGTTTGTCGGCTATTTTGTTGGTAAAAAATAATGGATTTCAAAGTTAGTAATGTAATTCCCATTTCGTGATTAATTTGATTCCCATTGAATGGATTTTACTGTTGTATGGCTTAAATTAAGCCATGATAGGTGAGGAAGGTATTCCCCAATGGCAGTGTAGCCATCACTTGTATGGATATGGATATTTCTTAAGATAGAGGAACAATTTAATTGGATGTTGAGTTCTACCACAGGATAAGAAGTCCAAGCCACGTATAATTGTGTGGTGTGTATCTGAGTTAGCTAGATTTCTTCCACAAACACCTTATCCAAACACATCCACAGATTTTCAAATTTTATTTGGAGTATATTTACAACTCTCGGAAAATAATTTGATGTATGCATATATATATAAGTATATATTATTGAAATATATATTATATATATGTGTATAATATATATAATGTATTATACGGTTTTCTTCCTTTCTTTTTTTTCTTGATTTACTTATTGATTTATTCTTTTTATTTCCCTTCTATCCTTATATATATATATATATATATATATATATATATATATATATATGTATTATACATATATAATATATTTGGTTTTCTTCCTTTCTTTTTTTTCTTGATTTACTTATTGATTTATTCTTTTTATTTCCCTTCTATCCTTATATATATATATATATATATATATATATATATATATATATATTATATTCGATTTCCTTTATTTCCTTAATTTATTCTTATTATTCCTTTTATCAACTTTATTTCCTATATATTGTGTATCAATACAATGTAAACATACAAAGAAATACAAGCAATAAGAAAAATGTAACATCAATGGCTCTTGATCCATGAATGTAGGCCTTAGTACCGAACCATGTATATACTGTATTCATCTTTCTATTTTATATCTTATATTTTCACTCTAGATCGTCTGCACCTTCTTTTTGCTCTACCCTCGCCGGAGTTTTGTTCCCCTTGGTCGGCAATATCATTTTGGCCGCTGTTCTGCTTTGCAAGGGCTTTTTCTTCCCCGCCCTCTGCACCTTCCTCTTGCTCTCTGTTCAGTTCCCCTTGGCTGGCAATACCATCTTGGTCTCTGTTATGCTTTGCAAGGGCTTTCTCTTCCCCGCTCTCTGCACCTTCCTCCTGCTCTCTGTTCTGTTCCCTTGGTCGGCAATATCATCTTGGTCTTTGTTCTACTTTGCAAGGGCTTTCTCTTCCCTGCCCCCTACACATTCCTTTTGCTTTCTGTTTGGTGGGTCTGTAAATTTTTTTGTGTCGTCTCTTTTAGAAAATTGTTCCTTTAAGAGCTTTGGGCATGCACTAATAAGGGGATGTGGGACCTATTATATCACGCTTAGACAGTTTCAAAAAAAAAAAATGTTTTCCTTGTTTGGACTGTCCCAAACACAATTTCTTCAGATATTTGGCTTCAGACGCCTTGGCCCGATTCAACTTTGGCCCATTCGGCATTAAAGGCACAATTTCTTCACCAGCGTTGCCGACTCTCGTTCCACCGGAGTTTTTAGGCCCTGTTTTTGATTACCGGCTTAGTTCCGGCCTTTTATCGGCTTTGTTCCGGATCTTTTTCATTTCTTGGATAGATTACTCAGATGTCTCCTAGTGTTGCTCTGGCCTATTTCTCGGCTTTGTTCCGACCCATTACCAGGCGTTGTTCTGGCCTTTCGAATGTTTTTCCCTCCACCATCGTTTTCAACTATTTCCCAGCTCTCGTTCCACCGGAGTTTTCAAGCCCTGTTGTTGATTACCAGCTTAGTTTCGACAGTTTACCGGCTTAGTTCCGGCCTTTTACCGGCTTTGTTATGGATCTTTTTCATTTCTTGGATGGATTACTTGGATGTCTCCTAGTGTTGCTTCGGCCTATTTCTCGGCTTTGTTCCGACACATTACCCGGCGTTGTTCTGGCCTTTCGGATGCTTTTCGCTCTACCATCGTTTTCGATTATTTTCCCGGCGTTGTTCCGGCCATTTCCCTGGCGTTGTTTCGGCATTTTTCAGCTTTGTTTCGATTATTCCCCGACTTTGTTCTGACTATTCCCCAAAGTTGTTCCGACCTTTCAGATGCTTTTTGCTCCACCACCGTTTTCAATATTTCATCTCCAAACTCAAGTTGGCTTAGAGAAACCCATCTTGGGTTTGCGGGAGAATATTAAAATATATATTCTATATAAGTATATTATACATATATATTATATTCGGTTTCCTTTTTTTCCTCCTTGATTTACTTCTTGATTTATTCCTTTTGTTTTCCTTTTTTCCTTATATATATATGTATAATATATTATATATTATACATATATATTATATTCGGTTTCCTTTATTTCTTCCTTGATTTACTTCTTGATTTATTCATTTTGTTTCCCTTCTTTCCTTCTTGATTTATTCCTTTTAATAACTTTATTTCCTGTATATTGTGTATCAATACGATGTAAACATATCAAGAACCACAAGCGATAAGAGAAATGTAGCATCAGTGGCTCTTGATCCTGGATGTAGGTCTTAGTGTCGAACCATGTATATACTGTGTTCATCTTCCTATTTTGCATCTTATATTTTCACATTATAAAGTTAACATATATATTGTTGGAGTTATAACCATGGTTCGCGTATCGGCTGATACGTGATTAATTGGCCGGTTCGTAACAACACCTTTATGAGTCGTTCGGTTCAGCCAGTTGATATTGCCCGAGTCCGTTATATTGTGACCGCAACTGCGAACCATGGTTGCAACTCGAATAGATTGGATGTGATTAAGAGCTAACCTTAACTTAATTATGGCAGTGAGTATTGTTGCTTATGGTTGAGTTTTTGGTACAATAGAAAAGATAAAAAATGATAACTGTTGGGGGAGAAATTCACATGGTCCAATACGGCACCGTTTTTCTGCAAAGAAAAGAGTATAAGATCGATGAAACTTGACGGCACCGGTGTGGTGCCTGCCAAGAGCTCTCCGACGATCAAATTAGTCACCGGAGGTCTAAAAGAAAGGCATGGATTTAATAATCATTTTTTGTCGTACCTTTATTGACTGGTAGGATCTCATTTTTATAGTCGTTTTCCCTTAGTTCATTTACAAGATCAGAAGAAATCCGTTTGTGCGAGATCAGAGGAGATCGTTTGTTGCCAGATTTGTCGGGGATATGATTTATTCCTTTAGCTTTCTCAAATTGTGCCAAGGTTATCCTTACCCTGTTGAACCACGTTGTCTTTCATTATCCTGGATAAGAAATGTCATCATTCTTATCCGATAGGAAACTTTATTTTTAATAACGAAATATTATCGTTCGAAAGTTGAAAAGGTCTGGCGACTGGTCAAAGTAGGTTAGGTTTATTTTTCCCTATCAGTTGCCCCCCCATTCCCAAGCTTGCTCGTCTAGCTTTGGGAATGTAATTTTTTTAATTTTTTTCTTGCCCTGGGAACAGTTCCCGCGGGTACTATTCATATGAACAGTTTTTTTTTTTTTTTTTACCCTGGGAATAGTTCCCGCGGTACTATTCACATGAACAGTAATATTTTATTTTATTTTTATTTTTATTTTTTTTTGCCTCAGGAACAGTTCCCGCAGGTACTGTTCACATGAACAGTAAGTTTTTTTTTTTTTTGGTACCCTTGGGAACTCTTCCCTTGGGTACTATTCCCTTGGGTAATGTTCCTGTGGGTACCCTTCCCTTTGGTACTCTTCCCAATAGCGGAATTAATACAGATACCAAATTAAGGTTCTGTTTTGGAAGGGCATGGATTTAAACCCATGGTCAGTGACGTAAAACTGAATTTTTCTTTTGAAAATCCAATATATAAGTTGTAAACTTCATGGGTTTCAGTCAGCCCATCCATTTGGCAAGGGAATAAATTTTACGAGTTTCACTCAACTCGTCGTCCCTTTAATAAGAAAATTAATTTTTACGAGCTTCACTCAGCTCGTCCCTTTAGTACAGGATATTTATATACTATCCTTTATAGTATGAGGATATTGATTATGGGATTATTTTAACCCGTGTCCTTTTAGCATAGGACATTTATTTACTATCCCTTATAGTACGGGAATATTGATTACGGGATTCATTTAACTCGAGTCCTTTTAGTATAGGACATTTATTTACTATCCCTTATAGTACGGGGATATTGATTACGGGATTCATTCAGCCCGGGTCCTTTTAATACATGACATTTATTTATTATCCCTTATAGTACGGAGATATTGATTATGAGATTCATTCAGCCCGGGTTCTTTTAATACATGACACTCATTATCATCCTTTGTATCCCTTTAGTAAGGGAATTTAGATTTTTGTCAAGTGTCGGGAATGCCAAGTCCTACTGAGCTAAGCATGCTTGATGATTACTTTCTTGCCTGTCATACCCCTAAATTCAAAAGGATAGGTTTGGTATTTAATTTATTGTTTATTTTGCATTTTTAAATTGATTAAGTGTGTATTTGCATTAATTGTTTATTTTGCATTTTTAAATTGATTATGTGTGTATTTGTATTAATTGTTAAATTATTTGATTTAAATATGTTAGTTGGGTGTTTAAATTTCATTTATTTGCTTATTTGATTTATTTTATTTTCATTCAATTAATTGTGTATTTGTTTTTTTAATTGATTGTTTAAATTTATTTTCTTGCATTAACTGTTAAATTGTATTTCTCTTTTACATGCACGTATAAATTTAAAAACGCTAACCGACTTAGGTAGTGGATGGATTCTAGGGTTTTATGTTTGAACGTAGCTGACTTAGGGTTAGTGTAGGATTTAAATTAGGGTTTCAATTAAAACCTATAAGTATATAAGTATAGGTCTGCCAAGGATTTTGGTTGACCCTATTCACGTAACAGAGTCCTACAGAGAGTTGTGAGAACAGAGAGAGAAAGGTTAGGGTTTGTGATACCCCCGAATTTTCGGATGCGGGTTGGCCAGGCCCACGCTCGATAACCCGAGGATATCAAATCAATTAGCAATTTAACGAACACAGAATACAATATAGAAAACTGGAATGAATAAAAATTTACTGAAAAGAACTAAAATGAAAATCCTTTAATAGAAAAACCTCCGAATAAACTTTATATACAAGACTA